GACTCAAACTCTCTCACGCAGTGGAGCTGGTCACACGGGCTGCGCCCTCTGACATCATCAGCCACTGCCTTTATCAACTGTATAGTACATAGGTACAAACACTCTGTATTAGCATAAATACCCCAATAAATCAAGGAGACTCCTCAGCGAGTCCTCCTATTGTTAACCAACAAACTCTCTGCAGCCTAAAGGGTAACCACTCCCCATTCACTATCCTTATAGTGTGTTCTTGTGTGCGCCAGAGTAACTAACTCTTGGTTGTTACACTCTGTGCACATGCAAGACTCCACATGGACTCCAGAGCATTACAACTGTCCACAGATCAACTACTCCTTTCCTTTTATGGAATATAGGAGTTGTCCCTCATGGTATGGAACTGTCTGGATGTTGGACTAGCAGGATATGACTCACTTGTTCTTACATTTTCATATGTACTTCCAAAAGGAAGGAAATCTATCTTTTAATCCCCCATATACTCAGAATTTGTCTGAATAAGTCGCCATAGTTGCTTCAGAATCGTTGTAGACATCCCACAGCCATATAACCAAAATTTCCAGCAAAGCGCCACGCTTGTTGTGACGTTCTGCTCGTATAGACCCAAAACACGGACTCTCAGGAGTCATTCCAGTGTTGTATTCTCCACTCTATATTCATCCTCAGCTCATATTATCACTCCCACACTTGTATTATCGCCTTTCCAGCAAGATCACAACTTGCTGTGACGTATCCGCTCCGTTTAGACTCAAAAGTGCGGACTCTGCAAACTGACCTGCGGACCTGCGGACTCACCTGTGGACCCACTCCATTGTAGTCTTCAGCACTTTCTTCTGAATCCCTTTGTTGATCCCTGTGGGTTGAACAATGCATAGGTGTTTGGACATAAGGACTATACTCAGTTCTCTCCCAGATGCCTTTAGCATCTTACACCACCTGCCAGCAATTGTGAGGCAATGTTAAACTAGAACAAAAACAACACCTGTCTCTGGCTGCACTTGCAGGAGGTACAGGGAGTTTGAGGTCAACAGATGCTAGAGATTATAGCAAGTGGAGGACTGAGGATGAACTCAAGGGTTTCTGATGAGGAGTAAAGCGGGTTATTCAAGTAATAAAAAGCTAAAGAACACTACATGGGTATGTAGGGCTTTTATAGCTAATTGTCTATCTCTCAGACCGGAAATAGAATAAAAGAAAAGTGGTCTGAGGATGAAACTATCCAATAAGAAAAATAACAACTATTGCACGACTTCAGGGATTTAATCAGCAGGTGAGAAAATGTACTAATAATAGGTAGTGTCACGCATGTTCAGGAAATTGTATCCTCATGATGAGGTACGATCCTGACTAAAGCATCTATTAATATATCCAGGCACTGAGGGGACTTGGAGCTCGTTGGCAAGATCTCAGCTACTAGTCCTTACCCATTGTGCTGGCTGGCTGGGAGTACTACCCAGTCTCTGATCTACGATATGAAGTGGTAACAATGGTTAAGAAAGCCTGTTAGGGCTATGAGAAGCGGGATGGCAAAGGATACTTCTAGCCCTAGAGCCAGAGGTGTAATGGGGAGAATGTCTGAGAACCAAGACATGGAATGAAAAGATAAGAAAATGTAAATGGTCCTTACAGCAATGGCAATAACCCAGCTCCAAATCTTCCTGGTGGTTCAGTTCTTCCTAATACAACAACACCGGCTACCAATTCCAACTCCAACAATGATACAAGCACATGTACTTCAGTCACCACCCCATCATGTCCCCTTACTCCTCCCACTAACAATATTACAAACTTACTAGCCGCTTTTTCACAATTCTCTCCTGCCTCTCAAAGCAGAACTCGGGACATTCTTACTAATACAGCACCTACATCATCCTCTTCAATCAATACTTCCTTGAGAATTCTTTTTTCTGTAGCAAACAATTTACCAGCTCCTCAATCATCAGACTTTACTCATAGTGTTCATCCATTTATCCCGCAATTGGCCTGAGCCAATATTTATATTCCTCTCACTTTATTTACAGTGGCCTCTACCACCAAACTTTACACTCAGTATCCAAACAAACACAACATGGATCCCATTGATTGGCATGAAGCTTGGGGCAGATATTCTGACTTTCTCGATCAATACTTTGATCCCCCCACCACACAGCGATGGAAAGAAACATTACATCTTCCTCTCCAGACAGGAACATTTTAGTGATCGGTCAATTAGTGACCGGTGACCGTTCGTGACCGATTCGGTCATGTTCCTTGCTAAGTATGGCGGAGCTGCCCTAGCTTCGCAGAGAAGTACGTCCTCGATATAGAAAGCGAATAGATATCTTATCTCTTCGGCTTTCTTCCCCTTTTCCCCTCCCCTTTTTCGTAATCTTCCAAGAATTTTTTGACTACCCGCCTCAAATTACGGCTAGACTACTAGGTCTGCGCCACCCAAACAAAACGGTTTCATGCCAAAGTCTATACCATCATCCTTCGCCCTGGCCTCCAAGTCGACACCAGACCAAAATGTCTCCCTCTGCTACATCTATCCATCGCTCGACGACTCCTACTATTACTGCATTTGTAATTTTACCACCCACACATCGCTTTTTATATGTTTATTTACTCGTTAAATAATTGCATACTTTTTTTATGTGTCATGTTTGAGGTATTAGACTGATTCTGTCAGAAGGTTTTCGATGATGTTCACATCAATGGGGATGTTTGCGCGGTGCAAATAGTCGTCGTTCCTATGATTGAAGGACAATTATTAGACATGGACTTGAAATACAATAGTGGTACTTACCAAAACTAAACACGTTCGCAAGTACATTCGAAACAGTCAAGGCCAGCCATTCAAAAGGCATCAATACCCTACTCACCTTGGAATAATGCCTGCTTCCAGAATCACATCTTATAACAAACCCTATCAGCTTGCGATGCATGATGTCAATTGTAGGGGCAATCAACTCACAGGATGGTGACAACAGTCTGCTTATCCTTCCAGCCCAATTCGCGAACCAGCTTTACACACGCTACCAGATTGCAAGCGCTGCTTGATCCAAGGAACAGGCCGTCATGATGCACGAGATAGCGAGACATGGCTACTGCTTCTGCGTCAGTAATACTGTCGATGCGTTAACGCAACAGAGAGACGCAACGGGGTCAGAGACGGTCTATCGTCAGACAAGAGCCAACCATCACATACCGAAATGCATCATCTATGATAGGCAGCCCAAGCTCGAGGTTTTGCGTCAGCCTGTTGATACCACTATAACCACCTCGGTGAGCCTTGTGCCCTCTAAATGAACGCGATGAACGTACATTCCCTCGACTACTGTATCGACCTGATGTCGCCTCTTCGTTCCTTCCGCTTCTTTGCGATCGTACATCACCCCAAACTTGACCTACAGAAAAGTAGTCAGCAGTCTGTCTACTCGGAAGGGTGACGCCATGGAGTGTGAATGAGTAAGAGGTCTTTAGACACGACTTAGTACCTTGTTATATACACCACTGCCCTCAGGATCAGCCAACACTACCTTGATGTCCTCCTTCTTCGATTTAAGAAAGCATCCAATGCCTGCGATAGTTCCCCCAGTGCCTAAAATCAAACGCCAACGCGATGAGCAATCGGAATACTGGTTTCACCCAAAAGCTACAATTCACATGATCCGACACTGACCTGCACCTGAAACAAACGCGTCGATGCGACCGTTAATTTGACGCCATATTTCAGGGCCTGTACCATCGTGGTGTGCATCATAGTTGCTTCTGTTCTGCAAGAATATGAGATAAACACCCCCAGCATCCGTGAAAGAGCCGCCACGAGAACGACCCTTTTGTGCTACAACTGACCTCGAACTGGTCTGCAAAAAAGCCTCTAGGTTTCGTCACCAGGTCTTCGTCCCGCAGGTCGTCGGCCTGAGTGGCACCATCTACCACTTGTACGTGCTTTGAGGTGGTTGTGACGACTACGGATGGAGAGGACGTCGCGAGTAAGTGGGTGCTATGTGCTTCGTCGATGCTCTCGACGAGATCGGTACGACCGAAATTGACAGCTGCTTGACGGGCCATGTTCTATGCTCAAAGAACACTGTCTCGTTCAACGCTCCTACCAAAAGTTCCGCTGAGACACACGCACCACAAACTAGCATTTTGCCCCCCCAAAAAAGTGGCAAGATCAGCAAGTGAAGTGAAGGTAGAAAGGCCAGACGTGAGAATACGAACCTGTTTTTTGTCAACGATGCTTGCTGGACGGACGCGCTGCACGTCTGCACCGAGAGCTTGAAGCGCTTTCACCTTTTCTTCTGCAACATCATCGGGCATGATAATGGCTAATGAATCCAAGTGCACAAATGAGCTAGGAGCTCCTGTTTGAGACAAGGAAACGGCGTACTTGTGTCGTAACCTCTGGAAGTACATATACCGTTTTTGAGCAAAGTCTGAACCCATTCACGAGCTTGTCGGTGAAACACCCACCTTGCCTTTGCTATGGTTGCTATTGAAATACCCGTTGAACCTACGGTACCCTCGAATATTCGCGAACCAGTGTTTGGATAGAGTAGACCTTGGTTTTCAGCATCTTCGATCACTGAGCATATATAGAAGGGAATATCAGAGGCATAAAGGCAAAAACAGTTGGACGGGACTCGCACTTCGCAATGCAACGCGATCTTTCACGCTTCCACCAGGGTTCAAGAACTAAAAATCCAGAATCACGAAAGGAATGTAGGTCGTGCGCGCTCATTTGATACTCGTGAAGTTATCACGACTAACCTCTGCTTTCCCGAGAATCTCAACGCCCAAGGCGTCACTCAATGAATTGATTCTTACTAGGGGCGTATTTCCTATATGCATGCTTTGACTTTCAACGACAAAACATCATGGTCATAAGCAAACTGACGCGCCTATCAAGCCAGTGACACCGTCAAGTATTTCGTCTCTTCTAAGCTCAATTGGCCGAGGTTCAGCATGGTACTCGTGCTCGAAACGTTGTCGCTTTCGGTATTGATAATAAAGGTTTAATGAGGAAGTGGTGACGGACAGAGAGACCCCTATGAATAAGCCAAATACAAAGTGTCGGACTACGCTCTTAGAAAGTCTTAGCCAAGGAGGTACGTGAACATTGGGTACGAGGTGTGAGTACATGATGGCTAGGACCAAGGGTGGAACAACACCTGCCAGTCACTTTGCCAATACGATACTACGAACATGACGACATTCGCATGGACAGTCGACGAAATGAACTACACACACATACATCACTGGCAGTAAATGCATTGCAGTCATTACCATTTGTTGGACACTTTACATCAACCAATCAAAGACCAACTTGACCATGAACAATTCATCTGACTTGGCAATCCAAATTCAAAAGCAACTAACTTTATATTATTCTACTACCCACAAACTACAACAACAAAACTACACCACAGCCAAAACCAACATCCAAGAATTCCAAGGAATAATTGATCCATCAGACAGACGCTCGACCCGCTGGCTCGACTTGCGAGCAACTGAAACAGCTGCAAGCAAAGAAAAACCAAACTTCATCGAGGCACTCTAAAAAAGAATGCCATGTTCTCTGTTGAACGGGAGAGCGCTCGTATCATCGACTGGATTTGAAGGATGCGGCATGTGTAAACATGCGAGACTCGAGTTAGTTTCTATAAAATAGATCCTAGCTGAGTATGTTCTAAGGAATCAACGAAGTAGGGCGCGAAGTTTATATACCATTCTGGGTTGGTCCGTGCGCATACTGTCACGTGCCTCGCCTAGTGGTGTACGGCAGTCGAGCGGCAGCAGCGAATATGCTCACTGGTAGCGGTGTCTGGGTACTTCTGAGCACGATGGACTCATTTCGTTATCAGTACTTCATGTTTTCATCTTTTTTTCTGGACATAAGCCGTTCCCAACAAATTATGTGACATCCAACGCAAAGTCTAAAAACGGATTCAAAGGCGTGACCAGTCACCAGATTATCTATCGTGTCTATGAGACGCTCTCTACACTTCCCCTTCATCCGCATATTCAGCACCATGGCTTCCTCGATAGACAAGCAAAAGCACTTCCTTGCATCTCCAAAATTTGCTGTTGTAGGCGCATCGACCGATCAGAGCAAGTTTGGCACAAAGGTACGTTGACGGCTGTTTGAGCATGCTGGTGTCGTCCGAAGAACCTTTGAAATTTGAAAGCTGATCGTCATCCCAAATAGGTCTTGCAGTGGTACATCCAACGTAACCGCGACGTCACACCTGTGCACCCTGTATGTGTGGATCCTCGTTGACAACTCACATCATGATCGACGCGCTCATTCTGGGTCATGCAGACCAGCAACGAACTTGAGGGAATAAAGACTATCCGCTCCCTTGCTGATCTTCCGTCGCCAACAGAGACCTCAATCAGCATCATCACACCAGCCAAGGTACACTTCTTTCCCCGCAGCTATGACTACGGGTTCCTGATCGTACTTCTGCAGATCACCATTGAGCTGCTCAAACAAGCCAAGGAACTCTCCGTGCCCTCCCTTTGGATACAACCCGGTGCCGCTGATGTTACTTGCGTGAAGTACATCAAGGAGAACCTGTCAGATCGTGTCATATATCAAGGGGAGTGCATACTAAGAGACGGGGATGGCATCGTACAGAGTATGCTGTAAGATATGGCCAGGTGATGTTTTTATTCTTAAGCTATTGAATGAAAGTGTCGTAAGTTTTACTCATCCTCGTGCTGTTGCGACACCGTGAACCATGCGTATGTCTGTTTCAAAAGTGATACAAGCAAGCCATTGATGTCGTTAGCAGCTTCACATTACATCCACAAAGCGAGACATGCAGTAAACACTTGAAAACACTTGATATACCTAATTGACCTGGAATGACCGACACGGTTGCAGCTGCGCTCCTTACCCCTAGATTACACCCCCAGGACTGTTGACATCTATACAATGCTCTCGTAACATTTAATGTAAATAGAAACTTACTTGTGTTCCACGATGGCACACCTCGGGTTCCATATGCCCACACGGTCTCGAGCCGGCATGCCCCACCAGACTCCTCGCCTGCATGGCATAATTAGAAGATGCGAAGATCGAGGTTTTGTCTCACCCATGTCGAATACCCAGGCTATAAGTATACGCTAGAACTCGTGTGCCAGGCTCTCGAGTGGACCTCGACTTCTTCAGCTACTATGTTGAGTATCCTCTATACGGCGCTGCCTCTTCTTCTGGCCCTTCCCTTTGCGAATGCGGGCCCGTCATCGAAACGTGGAGGTGATGACCTGGTTTTGAGTGCGTGGTATGCTGGATGGCATGCTACGGTAGGGTTTCCCTTATCCAACGTCAGCTGGGATAAATACACCAACCTGGTATACTCTTTCGCGTGAGCACATATCCTCTCTTGCAAACGATATAGATCCCAGTGATAAACCGCTTTTTTTATCTTTTCCAACCCAGGATAACCACTCCAGACGTTACTAAGGTTTCTCTAAACGGCTCAGACGGAGAACTCCTTCCCCAATTCGTTTCCGAGGCCCATGAACATGTGAGGAGTAGCTCTTATTACTTCTTGACGCCTATCTTCAATTTCTAATCAAATTACACCGCAGGGCATCCAAGCATTTGCAGCAATCGGTGGATGGGGAGGTGCTCAGTATTTCTCGACGGCTGTTGCATCCGCAGAGAACCGCACGACATTCGTAAAGACTATCGTGGACTTTGCTGAGGAATACCATCTCGACGGCATCAACTTCGAGTAAGTCGGTCCCTGTCCACCTCCTTCTCCAACAAGTGCGGCTAAGCTGATCGCAATGTCACCAGCTGGGAATACCCCAACGTCCAGGGCATCGGATGCAACACCCTCAGCCCGAACGACACCGCCAACTTCCTCTCCTTCCTCCAAGAACTCCGCCAGGATCCAGTTGGCGCCAACCTCGTCCTCTCTGCCGCAACCGCCATCACGCCCTTCGCAGGCCCAGACGGCAGCCCTTCGACGAACGTATCCGGGTTCGCCGACGTACTGGACTACATCCAGGTCATGAACTACGACATCTGGGGCCCCTGGTCGACCGCCGTCGGGCCCAACTCTCCACTGAACGACACCTGCGCGCCCGCCGCAGACAGGGTCGGCTCCGCCGTGTCTGCCGTCGCGGCGTGGACGGCGGCTGGGATACCGAAGAGCCAGATCGTGCTCGGGGTAGCGTCGTACGGGCATTCGTTCAGCGTCCCCCCCACAGACGCGTTTGTGAACGGGTCCAAGACAGAGTTGGTGGCGTTCCCGGCGTTTAATGCGTCTAACCAGCCTTTGGGAGATCCGTGGGATGATACGGGGAGCGTGGATGCGTGTGGGGTGTATGAAGGGCCTGGTGGCGACTGGGACTTTTGGGGATTGATTTGGGGCGGGTTCCTTACTACGGAGGGAAAGCCTGCTGAGGGGATATACTACCGTTACGACGAGTGCAGCCAAACTGTGAGTAAACTTCAGCTTTGCTCTGGTGATTATGAATTTCACTGACTGGGGATGCCTTATAGCCATATGTGTATAACGAGACGTCAGAGGTGATGGTTTCCTACGATAATGTTCAGTCTTTTGCGGTAAAGGGCACTTACATCAAAGAAACCGGTTTGCGCGGATTTGCGATATGGGAAGCTGGCGGTGACTACAACGATATGCTTCTCGATTCTATTCGTTCTACCATCGGTATCTGATAATAATGACGACGACTCGGACTGAATGACACTATGTATGGACCTGTGGAAGCGAACTGTTGATAGTCTTGTTGTATTCCTTGGGACATCCGTCGAGTACATAGTTTACAGAACCTGTATCTAAACACCATCTATACATACCCAATTACAGATTGCCTTTCAAACCCTCGTTGCCCCCAGCCTTCCCCTCTGCCCAGTGCCGGATAAGCACACCTGCAATGGCAGTGATGGGCGGCATCCTGAACGGGGGCTCCTCATCCTTGTGAACGGCGACACCTTGCTGCTTTGCCATCGCACTCGCCTCCTCCTTCGCCTTGATGGTGGGGTCCGAGTGTGCGAGTGCAGCTGCGCCCTGCTGGGTATCGCTGGAATTGTTCGATCCCTCTTGGATCTCCGCGATCTGTTTATAGTCACGGCGAGTGAAATTGGTGCCTGTTGGATGGGCAAGGACCGCGAGAACCTCTTCGCGGGTATACCACCGAGCATCTGTCGTTGGCCGATGAGCGAATTAAGAAGCGCCAACCCCGCAAATTCTATAGATCCCGATGGGCTTACCTTCGAGTTCATTGTCCAGATCCGTGCGGATAGGTGCAGACGAATCAGCAGTGGCATAATAGCCGACCATGAGATTGGCAGGGAATGGCTGAGATAAAGGCGTAGAAAAATCAGGATTAGGTTAGGTGATGAGATAGAAGGGGGATGGAATGGAGCTGACCCAAGGTTGACCGGAGTGGTATCTGATGTTCCACACCTTGACGCCCGCCTCTTCCCACATCTCACGTTTGACAGCGTCTTCGAATGACTCGCCTGGCTCGACGAAGCCAGCAAGCGCAGAATAGAACTTTCCTGGGAATTTTTTCTACAGATATGATTGGATTGTTAGTGGAAACATAATGGGATAGATAGTGCAGCGATAAGCGTACATTCCTCCCAAGGAGAACCTTATCTCCTGATTCGTCGATGGCGCACATGATCACGACGGGGTCGGTCCTTGGATGGGTGAAATTGTGTAGACCTCGGCTGTGGCAGATGAAATCAATATCGAAGGAAGTGGAAGAACTCTAGTCGGACTAACCCAGAGGGACATGGCTTCTTACCCGTATTATCAGACCAAGGAAGCAACGACGAGCATGAAAGTTTCCATCCGGCCCACAGGGAGTATACAGACGAGCCACATGCGGCGCAGAACTGTCACCAACCGACCCAGATATTGATCTCTTGTCATCTGGCAAGATAAGCGAAGCAGACTAACCTTGTTCCGTTGGTTCCAATCTACCAGACTCCGTGCTTCTGCGAAAACACCGGCTGAGAATGCATCGAGGTGCGTCATGGAAGCTCTTGGTTCCATGAACGCCAACTTCTCTCCGTTCTTTGTGAGTTCTATGCTCTGTAGCACGGTGTTGATCTTATCCTCCTCGTAATCGGCCACGTCTACAGAAAAATAGGGAGTTCCTTCGAGATTGGCAACAGCTGTATCTGCATCCTTGAAATCCGAAGATGGAAGTGCGCTCGCTGAGGCTGACCCAGTTTCTTTTAAGCCAAGGAAGACTATGGGAGGGCCATGGATCCGCGCAGCTTCGAGGACGGATACATCCGGGGCGCATAGCTCTCCTTCACGTTGAGCTTGACCAAAGTAAGGTTCTGGGCCAAGAAATGACTTGACATCCTTGGTCGATAAGAGTGCTAGAGTACGCTTGTTGGTCTCTGGATGGGAAGATACGAGCGGTTGCCCGCCATTGAACAGAAGCCATCGAGTTGCGGGCGATGCTACAACTGCATTCATGAACGACTGGGACGTCCTTAGCCATGAAAGGCGGTTCAAGGGAGATCCACCCATGAAATTGATAAAGCTGTCGATACGCCATGATAACGAGTTGAGCGATACACGTGTGTGTAGTGAGCACTGATACGAATCTAAATAAAAATGAAGGCTTACTTTTCACCCATCTTGGTGGACATTCTGCGGACTGCCTGGAGAACTATGGTGGATAGGATAAAGAAAGGGTTGGGTGCAGCTTTGTGTGTGGTTGCTCAGTCATCCTTGGTCTTGCCCGAAGTCACGATTACTGTATCCCGGGAATTCATACTATTTTCATACTTTACACGGATCGGGCGATGGTCTCCGCCCGGACGAGCCCGTGGTCCCGACATACCCGGCCCAAATTATCGTTGGGAAAAATTGTGCAGGCTTCGTAGTTACCTTTCCCAATGGCATAATGACTCCTGAGTCGAACAATGGTATGCTTGTAAGGAACATTTGACTTCGTATAGGCAATCTCCTGAGAAGAACTAATTGGCCGGCGGTCAAAAGTTCTCAATTATTGACTCATTGTTGTCGGGTGTAATGTCGGTGAGCTCTCAGCTCACTCACCGTGGATCTGTCATTTTAGCTTGAATGCATTTTATTCAACAAAAGGTCAGAAACAAGGTTTCAAAGCACGAACAAGCTTTTAAGAACACTAACACTCTCCTTGAAGTTTCCTTGTTCGCGGCTCCCCAAATGTCAATGTTTGTCAACTTTGCTTTCGACTACCAATACGGGAAAGTCGGGGGCGTATGGACAATATGACCTCGGAGCCCATCGTATCAGTGCGGATGGAGTCTAACTTGATGCTTTACGCAATGATTCGAATGCAAGTATGCGCAAACAGAACGCCTTTTCAGTCAGACAATGGGCTGACTGGACTCTGATCGGCTTTTTGACGACGGCCTCGAGGCTATCGTCAGGCAGCCAGATTTCTCCGAATGCAAGATACCCCTCATTCGTTTGAATTATCTAGGCTGTCGTTATTTTCCACAACCGTGGAACGTACCTGTGACCCCCTCGCAATTGTGCGCCTCGTAGCACAGGCATGCTATGTGGCCCCCCCCAACGGAGCTGTCTATCAAACACAGTGACATTACCGAGGGCACGTTTCTGCTATATGCCTCGCCAGTGTCTCTTTTGACCGACATCCCTCTTAGATCATACCTCGCGGAGGTGACTGTTTACGTGCGTCGACCGTCCTTGAAACTGCCTTTTCTGGCAATTCGTTTGTTGCATTGCCTTTTATGGACGTTCGTTGTAAGTACACGAAGCTTTTCCGTCCATGATTTTCCAGTGCAGAAGGCAGAAATTCCACCCGGGTTCCATACCCTGCCTTTCAACCTTCTAAAATAAGAGGACAATGCTGAGGTGCATCTGATCTTATATGTGCCTTTACGAACAGCTCTAGACGAAATAAGATTTGAGCATGGCCTACCGCTCAAAACCTTGTATAAAAGGTCGAGCACCGGTACCTGTACAGAGTTTCACTGTTTGAACTTTGAGCTGCCGTACGCCTATTTTGCTACATCAGTTTTCTGTATCTCGGATTTTCTAAATCATATGTCTCTGAACTCTAGTATCCAAATGACGTCCGATGTTCCCCGCCCGAAGCAAGATCCAAAACGACAACAGGGTTTCCACGAGCCCTCCCCTAGTCTCTCACCTGCACAAGCCATAGCAGAGGCATGGCAGCGGGAGTCGTCGCAGAGTCAAGAGCTATGGAGGCAAGCAGACTCAAAGGTTAGAGAACTCTATTCAGCCCCGAGACCACAGGTACCACGGAAGGGGCAAAATGGAAAGATGTAAAGTTGTGTGCGCAGGATACGCATAACGAAGGGTATGTAATTCTATTGACTGGGAACACTTATCTGATTCAACTACTTTCTAGGCTTTTCGATCTTCTTGTAAATATTTTGATCATGATCGCTGCTGTAGACGGGACACTTGGTGTACGATATGGATAAAATTCCAGCATTTGGGGAGATTATGATGGTGATGACACGACACACATGATTGAAGGACAATAGCAATACAGTATCATTTAATATGCCGCTTCACACACATGAGAATAGATAACATTATGACTACAAACAACACTCATGCAGGGATTGAAATGGCTTGGTTCTCCTCCTCGTACTCCTCCTCGTCTTCCTCATAATCATCCTCTTCTTCTTCCATTGCCGCCTCAGCTTCAGCTTGAGCCTGAGCAGCCGATGCGGCGTTAGCAATCGCTTGCTCCAACAACTTGGTCTGCTCCTCAGATAAACCGTATAAAGATAATGCAGGTCCAGGTGATGTACTAGGCAGGGGTTGCAAGTCGTCTTGTGCAGTGGCGTAGTCTGCTTGAATATCGTCATACCCAGTAACGTGGCCATCACGCGATGCCGACGCAGCAGGAGACTCAGCATGGCTATGTTGCGCTATGGGCGGGCCCTGCGGCGGCTGCATTTGCGAGGGTAAGGCTTGCAGCTGTGCTCGAGCAATCACGCTAGCCAGTGTTGCTTGTCCTCCCGTGGGATCAAGGTGTAGTGGAGGCACTGCTTGATCGGAAGGTGTTCCGAGTGCACTGGACACATGAGCCTGCAAAACACCATGCAAACTCATCACAGCTGACCGTACCCGCCCGACGAGTTCCCTTCGTATTTCTCCTTCTTCCAAGCCGCTGTGCTCTACAGACGTACCGTACGCTACCGCACCTCCTATCTGACTTCCGACTATGTCGCTCCACATCTTCGCGCGCCTCCCCTCCCTCACGATTTCATCTTCGGCTTCCTTGTCCAGCTCAACCTCCCTGATAGCCGCGCTCACACAAACTTCGCCCTTCCCACCACGAGCGCGACTATTATTCTTATGCCGCTTGATCGCGTCGCGACGCGAAAACATCTTATCACAGCCTGCACATTGCCACGCCTTTTTGTCGTGGAGTTTAGCGTGACGTTTGAGATCATGATTGCGAGCAAAAGAGGCAGGACACGCGGCGCAGCGAAAGGGACGGTGAACGGCATGTACACGCTGGTGTGCACGAAGGCTATATAATCGCGAAAATGTTTGCAGCAACCAGGTACAAGACATGGATAAACGGCAGTTCCAATGTCCGTAAAGGGGGCGTTTGAACCGAGAGGTACACCTGGTGGTTGCCATGGTCGAGAAGTATACATGGCTGCATTAGAGGAATGAGGGTTGTGGGCGATATCAACCCCTCGCGCATCGAGAGTGGGGCCAATCTGTATCCCACTGAGGACGCCAAGCACTTGGATTAAACCGCTAATCTCCTGTAACGCGTTCATCTCTGGACCACCAGCTGCAGAAGACGTTACCGCAAATAGAAAGACCTGATGCAACTGAAGCTGAATTGAGCCGATTAACGACGCGTCGAGAGGGCGGTTTGAAGGTGTATGTGAGGTGAGCGCGTGGGTGACAAGGCGTACTGCCTCTGCTATCTGGGCATGAAGATCGTTGTGAACAAATGCAGGCCTCTTCAGGGCACGAGCCTCGATCTGCCGCCGTTCTTCTTCGTCTTCGTCGCGTTTCCGCTTCCCTTTATCAAGTTGTATCGCTGGAGCATTGGAGTGACGAAGGGTGCCGAAAAGTGCATCAGATCGAGCTAATGACACCAGAAGATGGCTGAGAGCTTTTGCTAAACCTTTTGGGATACTTCCTGTAGAAACTGAACTATTCAAGGCGTCTAGAACGCTGTCGTGCGAGCCAGGTATTACCGTGGAAGCTAGGGTAGAGCAAGCTAGAGAGTCTTTCCCCGCAATGGTAAGTATGCTTTTCATCGTAGCTATGGCAGCTTCTTCCTTTTTCGATGTTGGGGGTGCGGGGATAGCAGCAGCAGCAGTGACCACAGAGGTTGTAGGAGGTGTTTGAGACACGGGAACAGAGGGACTTGAAGTAACAACTGTTGCATTGGCGCGATCTGCTTGAGCTTTGCTGATATCAGCCCAGAGCTGGTCTCTCAACCTGCGAGCAATCTCTTCAGCCTCTTCCTCTTCGCCTTCGAATTCCTCGTCGTCGTATTGCTCGTCTTCTTCGCCACCCCAGTCCTCGGATCCTTGCTGTTCGGCGCTTGGAGAGTCTTCTCCTCGTTTTGTAATTGACATGTTAACTGTATTCAGTAAAGTCACATCAGATTAATATCGTCAAATTCAGACAATTACAGTGGGTATGAATGTTTGCTGTGGTCGTAAAGGACTGGAATCAGGGTAGTTTGTTGGAGAAAAACAAATTCCTTGCAAATTCCTCAACGCACAAAATGGGCTGTGGCTTATGTAATGCGATAAGATAAGGAAGTCCCTTTAAAGGCCACGTGCCGTCGCCTAATCTTGCGATGGTGATTGGTCGGAACGCGGGGATTCCGCTACTGCAAACTGCCCTGAGGCGCTTGGTCACCGTTCGAGTCAGTGTTTGAGGTTTCGTTCTTTAGACTTCTACATTTCTATCCCTCATCCTCAGATATACCAGCGACGATGTCGAAAACGGTAAAGGACCTGGCGGCTGGAACTGCCGGAGGAGTTGCACAGGTGCGACACGTCGACCAGCTCTTGAAAAGATCTAAGCCGATTTTCATCGTGGTTGTATTATAGGTCCTTGTTGGGCAACCTTTCGACATTGTCAAAGTGGTGAGTGTGCTATGATATAGCAGGAGCTATAATTCACTTGTCTACATAGCGTATGCAAACGGCACCGAAAGGCACTTACAGCGGCATGGTGCACTGTGCTGGTGGTATCCTGAAAAACGAGGGGCCTTTGGCTTTCTACAAGGTGGCGACAAATTTGTATTGGCAATGATACCCTCTTCTGATCCATAAAATTAATGTTGCAGGGAACATTGACACCTCTCCTAGGCATCGGTGTCTGTGTCTCTATTCAGTTTGCTGTTCTCGAGTTCGCCAAGCGACAGTTTGCCGCCCAAAATTTGGCCAGCGGGACAGGTGGTGAGGGAGGGAGAACACTCAGCAGCGGTCAACTTGTCTTTGCTGGTGTTTCTGCCGGTTTGGCTAACGGGATAGTATCTGGGCCTGTGGAACACATTCGTATCCGTAAGTGTTTGGCGGCTCTCTCTCAGTCATATACGATATACTCAGCTTTCCCAAAGGTCTACAAACACAGTCGGACAAAAACCGCTTATATGCAGGACCATTTGACGCCATTAAAAAAATTAGCTCTGCCCATGGAATTGCAGGATTGTTCAAAGGTCAATGCGTGACCTTCCTGCGTGAAGCAACTGGCTACGCCGCCTATTTCCTAGTATACGAAAAATTGGTTCAGCGAGAAATCGCACAAAAAGGTATCAGACGCGACCAAATCAGCCCACTTAATGCCGTTTTGTACGGCGCAACGTCTGGTTATGCCGTGAGTCGCTTTGCACGCGTACTTTATTCCTGTGATGGGCGTGGTGCTGAAACACTGTTATTTATAGCTTTGGGCAATCATATACCCTATAGACATGATAAAATCGAGGATGCAAACAGACGGGTTCAGTCCGTCGACTGGTCAAAAGTACGCTTCTGCAAGGGATTGTGTTCGCAAAGTGTGGAAATCAGAAGGCATTAGTGCTTTCACTCGCGGTCTGGGACCAACACTGATTCGGTAAGTAGCTAACGATCTCGAGCTCATCGATCGTATTCTGATGGAGTTCTCGTTTTCAGTTCGCCGTTCGCCAACGGTGCCACGTTCCTTGGATTCGAGATGGCAAACAGGATGCTGCAATCTTGGTAATTGCCATCACAATGTCATTCGCTCCTATAGACACTACAAGCCACGAAACGATCAAGATCCGATATACAGAATTCCATTGGAGTATATATTACAGCTTTGATTTATAGATATGGACAGGTAATCGGAGGGTGCTCACTGCCTGCACGTGCTGGCGTGTAAACAATGATTATGACTGTTCTACGAGCTAAGAGCATATATGACGATGATAACCCAGAAGCTTCGCATACTGTTGATTGTCTGTATCTTGTGATTGAAACTCGCAATGAGATGTTCCGCAGAGTAAGGACCAAAGATTGCACTAGACTGATACATTATTTTTCAGCTCGGCGAAGATTATAATTCCTGAGTTTTATAGCTTTACTGGTATCCTGTACCTGGGCACGAGTGGATTGGTGCTAGCCTCAATAGTCATTTCGACAGCGTCACCGTTACTGTTGTTTGGTGTGAATTTTACATCGATCGCCAGATACCAGTGAGTACTAGTGAGTCGGGCCAGTGAACGCACGAAAACATCCGAATCGTGTTTGCTTCCGAGGTCGACCTGACAAGAATCGAAAGGACTACCAACGCACTGACACGGCATGCCCAATACCCATACGTGTCTTGTTTGAATGGCGAGGAACCAGCATTTTGACCTTGGAGATGCAGCCATGAAGGGTAAGCGGTAGTCTAACGCTAGTAGTGGTCTCTATCTACGTGTACTGACGATAGGATTTCGATACAGTTATCCTAGAAAGTCTGTAGCGTAGTAGAATATATGCTAGAGAACACCTTCAATTTCCTTGGACCTCGGACCTCAGAGTTGGAGGGGCAAGTATGAGCCTGGCTGTCGGCGAGGAGGCCTGCCAAATTTGTGATGGCCGCATGTACTCGTCCGTTAATGATTGGACTATTGTTGACTGTCGGCTGTTGGATATCATAGAGCATCGAGTACCGATATCTGGAGGATCTTTCCAGGCAGAGTTTGAAAATGAAGATATTAAGTGCCCAAGGCGAGTGTTGTACATGAGCTCAGGGTCTATGCTCTATGCTCACGTCTCTGTTCCTTGCCGTGGCATTGGTGTGACACCATCGTGCCGTCGTGTAAATGTTCCGTTGGTTGTGAGTGGGCAACTATTTTTGAATTCTCTGGACGCTACTGACTTGTATTACCTAGAAATGATATCGAATTCGAAACATGCGTTGATGTCACTACCCCTATATCCAGGTGCCAACTTCAGTGACAGGGCTATAAGCAGCAAATCTTCTCTCCTGATAGGGTTACTATGCTAGAATCTTGATCTGACCCGAATGCTAGTCACTTTGCCGTCATTACGCGTTCAGACTTGGGCTTCAGGAAGCCATGATGCACTGCTTCCATACCTAGGAATGTATATATGAAAACAACCATTGTTATGTGTGACTTGGGCACCTTTCATTTCCGGTCTTATCTTTTCCCCCTTTCGTGTGCACTATCCTCAATCGACATCTTTGAGCGCCAATTTGTGCCATCATAGTAATAGCGAGCGTTTATCGATATACACCGCACATTAGGCGTGAGGATTCAGCATGTACCAAGACACGAGGCCACGCAGGTGAGCGTTTATCGATACAGTATTTATGTTCATGTCAACTCTACCCACACTTCTCTTCAGTTCATCTGTCTCCTCTTAGCTTCGATGTTCACTCCCAATCAACCTGGTAAGTGTCATCAACACATGCCGCAGTTGCAACTTCCAATAACAATGAAGGTTCTAACAATCCCAACGATCATATGTCTCTAACGCCCACTATTGGCCCAGGCATGTTCGCTTGGGCCAACAACACACATCCCATATGGCACATTCATCGATAATTCTGGAAACTCGGGGCTGAGATTCAACATCAACAACAACTTTGCTTCTGGCCGTGCATGGAGTTTATCTGTCTTTGACTATGAGCTCAATCATTCGTTATTAGCTTCGCCAAGCTTATACAGCTTGCTACAGCCAGTTCAGGCTTCGTACCAGAATCGCTCAGGGGAGCGGCCTCAATGTTTGGCAGGCACTCGCGAGGATGTCCTAGACGACATCAAATCATGGGCAGATGGTACTCGCCCAATCTGCTGGCTTAATGGCTCGGCTGGGTCTGGGAAGTCGACCATAGCGCAGAGCGTAGCAGAGTGGTGTGCTGATGAAGGGAGGATTGCTGCTAGTTTCTTCTTCTTTCGGGGAACAGGAATCCGAGACAAGATATCTCCCTTAATTCCTACGCTCGCTTTTCAACTCTCAATTTCAATTCAAAACATGGAACCTTTGATCCAGGATGCCCTCAAAAAAGAACCCTTCCTTACCCAGCAGCATACTCCACTCAGCTATCAATTTGACAAGCTGATAATGACCCCCATGCTCTCCCATGCTCGCTCAACATCTACGCAGAACGGTGCCATACAAAAACGCATGGTGATAATTATTGATGCCCTCGATGAATGTGAAGTTGGTGACGGAGAATCAATGGATAAGTTCATCGACGCTGTCATTGACGCGTGCAGGTCCAAGGGAGACCAGGTCCCATTTCGTCTGCTCATCACTAGTAGAGTCGAAGAGCATCTTCGCAAAAGGCTTGAACAATCGATGCCCAGAACGTCTCCCTTCAGTTGAAGCTGCAGAACTACAAGGCTAGGAAGGACATTCACATGTTCTTCCAGTCCGAATTTGCGAATATATATGCCGCCAATCGCCGACTCATGGCTGCGGATGGTGTACCGGAGCCTTGGCCCTCGTCAGACGTCCTTAATACCCTGGTCCATAAAGCTGATGGTTCCTATATCTATGCATCGACATTCGTCAAATTTGTCCAGCAAGCGGGGGGGATGGCGCACCAACAACTTCTAGATGCTCTAAAGGCACATGGCCTGGATCCTCTATATATGCAAGTTTTCTCCAAGGCTTCGTCTTTTGAAGATACACCTGGAAGCGTGGTTGGCATCAAGCGGGCAATGGGAATCCTGTTACATCTTCAAAGCACAATGTCCATCCATGACCTCGCGCTCCTGATGGGTGTGCCGCCACGAAACCTTGTCAGGTCTTTCTTCCAAATCCAATCCATTCTCCAGATTCCCGAAGCCAACGACCGTCCAGTGCAGCTAGTCCACACATCGCTCCGCGATTTTCTAACGACAAAATCACGCTCGGGCGTCTATTTTAATAACCCCTCTGATTGTCACGCTTCCATTGCAATATGCTGTTTGAATTTCATGTGAAGCAAACAGAACCTCTTTTTTTTTTTCAAGATGGGCTCCTGAAGTATGCATTCAAGAATTGTCTGAATCATCTTCGACAGGCTGTTGATGGTTTGGGGAATTATCATCCAGAGTTATCTCTTTCTGTTTCACTGAGTAGCTCTCTAACAAATTTCGCCACTAGCAACAATACATTCGCTTCTTGGGTATATACTGGCATCCAAGATGGGCCACCGAGCAAATGCTTAGAATTGCAGACATGGATGGGGGTAAGCTAGAACAATTATGTGAAATGTTAAAATTGGATAATGACCAGACCAGGGATTGAACCTGGAACCTTCTGGGAAGTGTCTAGCCACTTGCTGAGAGCTAACAGGGACAGAACTAGAGTCCAGTATGAGTAACTATATTATCAGAGAGTACAGAATGTGTACAGTACCTAGAGTCCAGTATGAGTAACTAAAGAATAGGAATACTGGACTCTGCAATACTAGTCCGAAGTTTTGTAAACAAAGGTAAACAAATCAGCCACAAAGGCGAAATTATAGAATGCTCAGTGAATACTGAACAATACAGCAAAAAGAATAAAGAGGAAAGTGATTTAGAAAGAAGGGAAAATAGATAGCACAACTAGGAGCAGAATCACCAAAACTAACACTCCCCCCTGATGCTGCACCTCCCAAGTATTAGCTACCCCCTGATCTAACAAGTCCCATCATCTGTCTGAACATGTCAACTTTAGGCTTAGCCAGAGCCTTGGTCAACAAATCAGCAGGCATTTCAGCAGTGGGCACAAAGGTGGGAGCAATTTGGCCAGAGCCAACAATATCTTTCAACCAATGCCAGCATAAATCAAGGTGCTTCATTTGACCATGGTGTTCAGGATTCTTGGACACAGAGATGGCAGATTGGTTGTCAATGTGAAGGGTGGAAGGAGAGGTGATAGGATAGCCCATTTCCTTCAGCAGATTTCGCATCCAGCAGATCTCCTTGCCAGCTTCAACAGCAGCAATATATTCTGCCTCAGTGGTGGAAAGAGCAACAATGCTTTGAAGTTTGGAACTCCAAGAGACAGCACCAGATCCAATCTTGACAAGGTAAGCACCAGTAGAACGTCCAGAGTCCTTGTCACCACCATGATCAGCATAAGAGAAAGTGGTGAAGAGTTCAGTGGAATTAGGACCAGGGCCAAGGACAAGTGAGTGATTGAGGGTGCCTTGCAAGTAGCAGAATAAGTGCTTGACAGCACCCCAGTGAGTGGGCCCAGGATTGGAATTGAATCTGGCAAGAACTCCAACAGTATAGGTAATGTCAGGACGAGTGGTGGTGGCCAAATACATCAGAGCACCAAGAGCAGCAAGATAGGGAATGTCCTTCATCAGTTGCACTTCTTCTGGTGTCTTGGGAGACATACTCTTGGCGAGGCGTGAACCAGGGTCCATTGGAGTGGACACAGGCTTGCAGTCCTTCATGCCAAAGCGCTTCAGAATGTCCAGAGTGTACTGATGTTGGGAGAGGGAGATGGTGCGATTGCTGAGGTCTCTGGTGATGGAAATGCCAAGTAGGTAAGAAGGAGGGCCAAGATCACAAAGTTTGAAGTGCTGAGAGAGGTCCTTGACAGCTTGGTCAAGTGCAGAATTGGATGTGGATGCCAGTGTTATGTCATCAACAAAGACAGGTAGAATAATGTGCACTTCACCTCTATCAAACACATAGATGGCAGAGTCAGAGTAAGTGCAATTAAATCCGAGTTTTTCAAGCACAATGTGCATCTTCTGGTTCCACATCCTGCCTCCTTGCTTGGTCCCATAAATGGCCTTGTTGAGTTGGCAGACCAGATTACGACCACCTTGATGGAATCCCTCTGGTTGCTGCATGTAGACCTTTACATCCATGACACCATTGAGAAATGCATGAGAGATGTCAATGGAGCGCAAATGGAGGTTGTGGATGGCAGCAATTGCAAGGATAACTCTGATAGATGAGATTGTGAGGCAATGATAAACTATAACAAAAACGAAACCTGTCTCCTTCTGCACTTGCAGGGAGTAAGGGGTTTGATGAGCTTGAGGTCGACAGACACTAGTAAATATAGCGAGTAGAGGACTTTGAGAGGTAAGCTTCAAAGGTTTTCATTGAGGAGTAAAGCGGGTAAATTCAGTAATAGAAAACTAAGGAGCTATACATGAATAGGTAAGGCTTTTATATAGTGAACTGTTCGTTCCTCAGACCGAAAGGAGAATATACGAAAAGTGGTCTGAGGAATCAATCGGCCAATAAGAAAAAGAGAGAACAACTATTGTACAACTTTTAACTTGATTAATCAGCGGTGAGAGATTTGTTATGCGTGTTCAGGAACCGTATCCTCATGATGAGGTACGATCCTGAACAAAGTGTTTATTAGTATATCCAGGCTTTACTGGGGCTTGGAGTTGGTTGGCGAGATGCCTACTACCAGTCCCTACTCAGTGTGCTGGCTGGGTGGGAGCAATACCCAGTCTCTGATCTGTGATATAAAATGGTAGTGATGGTTAAGAAACCCTGAGCGCTATGAGAAGTAAAATGGCAAATGATACCTCTAGCCCTAGAGCTAGAGGTGTAATGGGAAAAGTGTTCGAGAACCAAGACATAGCGAAGATAAGAAAATAATGAAATGGTCCTTACATTACCCCCCCCCCCCCTTTTATATTCTTGTCCCAAGAATCTTAACGCCGCAATCCGTGAAGCGGTTTGTGATCCAGTCGAAGAGGCGGGGTTTTTTGGTAGTAGTGGTGAAATTTTTGTAAGGGCGGAATTGTAAAGCGGCAGCGGCGATTACGCGTGGGGCGGCAGGGTGTTTGCGATGAAAGGTGGCGATGAGTGAGGGAGAATTCTTTAGGTGATGATCAGGTTCCCACGTCCTTTCCGTGATCGAGTATCCTTTCCAATGGACGAAGTAATCAAGTTTGACCCCTTTTAGTTTAGTAGGTCGTGAAGCGATAATTTCTTCGGCTTCGTATTTGACTGCGCCATCTACTTGGATTGGCGGCGGTTTTGAGGTACGAGGTTGATTGGGGAATTCCGGTGCGTGATATGGTGACAGGAGTATTTCGTTGAATACGGGATGGATCGCCTTCCAGGATCTAGGGACGTCAAGGAGGTAAGCGGATGGGCCAACCTTCGCTTTCACAGTAAACGGGCCGAATCGCTTATCGTCTAGCTTCTTCATCGGCCGATTGGTGGAAATGTGAGTACCTTCTAACCACACTTTATCTCCCTTGTGATATTCCCGTGCTTCGGTGCGTTTTTGGTTATAGTACTTCTTAAGATTTTGATTAGCAAGCAGTAATGATTGCCGAGTTTGCTCATGTAATTTTGTCATTGAAGTTGCGAAGTCTTCGGCCGCTTGCGAGCATCCCGAAGGTTTCTGACCAGTTCCCTTGCGAGGGTGAGAACCATAGTTTACGAAGAAGGGGGTTTGATTGGTTGCAGAATGAAGGTGGTTATTGTACGTGAATTCAGCGATTGCTAGCCAATCGGCCCAATCATCCTGTCGGTGATTGATGAACGTGTGCAGGTAATGTTCTAAGTCCTGGTTTATCCGTTCAGATTGGCCATCAGTTTGAGGGTGGTAACCTGTTGATAGACCAGGTTTAATTCCGAGAGATTGGTAGAAGTCCTTGGTGAAATTCGACATGAACTGAGGTCCTCTGTTCGATATGATTTTTTCCGGGATACCGTGCAGTCGTATGACTGAGTCTCGTAATTGTTTGGCGTAGCCTAATGAATTGAGAGTGACATGCGTTGGTACAAAATGAGCCATTTTGGAGAATCTGTCCACAAAGACTTGTATTGCGTCGTATCCGTTTGACTCTGGTAGTGCTCCAATAAGATCCGTCGTGATTATCTGCCAAGGGCGATCAGGGATTGGGTTTGGATGGAGGGGAGCATGCAGCTTTTGGCAATGCAACTTTGTTCTCTGACATATCTCACATCCTGCAACATATTTCCTGACATCTCCTGAGACTAGGCCACCAGAAGGATCGGTTTACTCCTTTGTACATCTTTCTTTCGCCTGGATGTCCACTGAGGCTGGTGTCATGTCCTTCTTCGATAATACGTGCCCTTAACTTTGGGTCTTTGGGTACTTAGATGTTGTTTTTGAATGGCCCTAAGGTCAATTCGTCTTCTTTCTCGTTTCCTATCCAGATGATTCCGTCTCGTTTCTTCCAAATCTTTGGATCGTCTCTCAACTTCTTTACAACGTAATCATCTAGTTTGTGCTGTGAAGCTAGCAGCTCGTCCAGGTAGTGTTCTTCTAACACGTCTTCCATAGTATGAATGTTTGCTTCCGCGAGCTGAGGTAGAAGGACCTGTCCTTCATTGTCTCTCTCGCCTCTCGGATGGTCTACTCTTCGACTCAGTAGGTCCGCTTTTGTGTTTGCTGAGCCTTTTACATGCTCTAATTTGAAATTGTATCTGGCTAGCGTGTCCATCCACCTAGCCTGTTGTCTGTTTACTTTCTGGGGGTCTCGGAAGTAGGTGAGGTTTTGATGGTCGGTGAATATGGTGAACTGGTGTTTAGCTCCCATGAGGAGATGTCGCCATTCTTCTAACGCATGCATTACCGCTAGCATCTCTTTATCCCAGATAGCGTAATTTCTCTCTGCAGGGTTTATTGACTTTGATAGGAATGCGACTGGTCTCCATTTCCCTTCTTGCTGCTGGGATAATACCGCTCCTGTGGCGTAGTTGGAGGCGCCACATTCAACTTTGAACGGATCTTCATCGTTAGGGATTGCAAGTGTGGGCGAGGTGGTGATTGCCTTTTTGAGAATATCGAATGATTGTTGTTGGTCTTCAGCCCATTCCCAATCTACTTTTCCGGTGAGAATTGTCAGTGGTTTTGCAATTTTTCCATAGTCTCTGATAAATCGTCTGTAAAAGTTCGAAAATCCTAGGAACGACTGTAACTCCTTCTTTGTGTGTGGTATCGGCCATTCTGTGACTGCTTGTACTTTTAGCGGGTCCATGTGAATCGTATCATGGGAGATGATCATTCCTAGATATTCGACCTCTTTCTTCTCGAACTCGCATTTCTCTGGTTTGAGATATAACTGATTGTCTGCGAGTATCTGAAGAACTTTGGATATGATCTTCCTATGTTCTTCTAGCAAAACAGTGAATATCATGATATCGTCAAGGTATACGATAACAGATCCTTCATTTATCAGGTCTCGGAGAAGTTGGTCCATCATTGTTTGAAAGGTGGCTGGGGAGTTTGTAAGTCCGAAAAACATAACTAGAGGTTCGAACAGTCCTCTGTTAGTTCTGAAGGCGGCTTTGTGCTCATCTCCTTCTTTGATTCGAACATTGTTATATCCCCAACGGACATCCAGCTTGGTGAAGAATTTAGCACCTTTGAGCCGGTTTATCAATTCTGAAATGAGGGGTAACGTATATCGGTTTTTGATCGTAAGGGCATTGAGTTTCCGATAGTCTTGTACCGGTCTGAGAGATCCATCCTTTTTCTTTATAAAGAAAAACGGGGATGCATAAGGGGATTTTGACACTCTAATCCTCCCTGTCTCCAGGTTTTCTTTTAAGAATTTGTCAAGATGGATTTGTTCATCGCGGTTAAGTGGATACGTTTTACAGTCTAGACCTTTGGCTTCCGGCAGAAGTTCAATTGCGTGGTCCCAGACCCGTCGTGGGGGTAGTTTGTCAAATGACGCTTTCGTGAATATGGGCTCAAAATGATGATAAAACGGGGGGACAACGTCTCTGAACGTGAGTGTTGATTTTGCTCGTTCTGATTCTTCTGCGATCTGTTGGCTTTTGGTCTGAGATACATTGCTTTCAACGGAAATTTTGTCAATCCTGCTCTGTAAGTCTACAGCGATGACTCTATCTCCGTCTTCAGGGTGATACTCCGTATCATCAGAAGGATATGTGATAGTGTTTGTTTGCCAGTTGATGTTGGGATTCGTGCGTCTTAGCCAGTCGTGTCCTAATAAAATTCTGGTCTCCCTCTGTCCAGTAACCAGGAAGTCCATTAATTCCGTGCGACCCGCCACTGTTAGGCGAAGCGTCACATATTCTGTCAGAGGTCCAGTGCAATTTTTGGTTCCATCTGCATTTAAAACAATAACATGAGTTGGAAGTGGTTTCGTGGAAATGTTGTGTTGCCGAACAAAGGCTTCGTCAATGATGGAGTCTGTGCATCCCAAATCTATCAGAACTGGTATGACATGCATCTGGTGATCATCGATGGTGGATAATTTGCATTGTAGCGAGGGTTTGCGTTGATGAGATGGGGGAAGGGATGCGAAATCTTTGATCACATTCAACTGTTCTACAATGTAATCTTCATCGTGTTGCTTGAGCAAATTGATTGTATCCGTCGTGATATGTGGGTAACACTGGGGTGAGGCCCAGTTCCGAACCAATGCTTTGGCTCTTTCTTCTTTCTGGTCTTTAATTCGTCGAGCCAGCCATTCTGCTGAATGTGGCTTAGCATATTTCTCGGCACGTAGGTTTTGGGAAACATGTTTCGATTTACAGTTACAAATACATTTTCTGAACCGTGCTTACTGGTCAGAAAGTCCGTGCTTACTCCTGACCTTCGAGAAAATCCTTCGTCTTTGTCTCCTCCTGGGTTGTGGTTGCTTCTCTAGCTGCAACTTTCTTCAGAGGGCAGTTCCTTGCAATGTGACCCGGCTGGCCACATCCGTAACATAATCTGAACCGACTCTGTCGGTCTGTATCCATGGGTACACCTTATCCGGGGAATACACCTCTCTGAGGTTGATCCTTGAACCTTCTTGCATACTGATTCGTCTGGGTTTTTGCCATCTGCTGTGGCTGCGGCTGTTGCACATGTTGGTGCATATATGTCTGTTGTCTGTAGATAGGTCGCGACGGCTGCGTGACTTCTCTCTTTCGTCTTTCGTCTAACTGGAACTCTTCTCTCCTTGCCTCCCATGCGTAGGCTTGCGTTTTCCACTCAGCAAATGTTTTCGGTAGGTCTTTCTGGATGATGACGAAATTGCAGATTCAAGAGTGAAGATTCTTTTTGAGAATGCGGTTGATCATGTCAAAGTGAGTGGTAGCTTCGTATCTGGCCTTGTCCATGAGCGTTGTGAAGTGGCTAAAGAATTCGTCGCAATGCTTATTCTCCTGTTTGTATATTTCAATCTCATTTACCGCCTGTGATCTTTTGTTTGGATTCCTGAATACTTGGGCTAGATTGGTTAGGACGGTCGAGAGAGTCGGCCATACGGGGGTAGTTGCATCAAGAGCTTTGGTAAGCACATTCTCTTTCCAAGCTTTTACTGTCGACATTCCTTGGTCGCTGATTTTGGACAAGAGGTAGATGAGCTTTGTCTTCTCGTCTGGAAAGTAGGATGCGTAGGCGGTTAAGTACAACTGTAGTGCTTGGCGCCATGCTATGAATCGTTCCTTTTCTCCTTTGAATTCGAAGGGTTCTGCTACTAGAGTTACTTTGCCGTGTAACTACGTGGGATTAGACATGGGTGAGGGTTTTGGAGGAATTGGAGGTGGAGGTGGGCGTGTAGGTGGTAGAGGTAGGGTTTGTCTGGGTGGAGTTTCCGGTTCTATGGATAGCTTTGGGTTTCGGTATTCGGAAAACACTTTTGAAGATGGAAACGAGGTTTATTTAATTTGAATTGTAATCAAACTCGTCACTCCAATCGTTAGAAGTAAACCCAAAAATATTCTCTTCTTCTTCTAAATCTCTTTCTACCTGTGAGCTAGTGGTAGAATTACTATCCAAGTTCGAGGTTGCTTCGTCTGGTGAGGGGGTTCTTTCAATAAGAACATTTCCTTGGATCAACTATGAGACAGGAGGGATATAAGAGAAATTTCCTCTAGTCAGATGGTACCCTGGTCTGTACTGCGAGTAGACTCTGTTGTTATCTCAAATAAGCACTCCCCAGAACTCGGTGTCGATTTTGGTAACGATGAAACAATCTGTGGGGTGGCGGATGACTAAGTCAAAGACTTCCTTTGCGTAGTTTTGGTATTCTCTGAACAATCAGCAGATGTTCCTAATCTGTCTTTGTTCTCGTTCCCAATCTCTTCCTTTGAGGATCTCATGTCCGATCTTAAACACTAGTCTGCGAAATTGCGAGATGCAGGCTACTATCCTTTGTATTGCGTCGCGGCAGAAAGGGGTGACAACTAATACGTGGACTCCTGTTTTAAGATAGTCTCGTGGGTTAAAGGCGTCATTCTGTTCGGGAGTAAGGGGAAGGTCAAAGAAAAATGGTATTTCCCGATAGAACTTGATGAGATCGGTTTCATAAATTCCAATTCTTGTAAAAAGAGGTTCAAGAGGGGTAGGATCAAATGACACTGTAACGTATACGTCAATTCTGGATGGTTCAAGATAAGGTGTAAGGGATTCTAGATATGGTGCAGAGTAGGGTTGTCGGTGGATGATGATTCCACAGGGAAGTAGGTAATGAATCTCTCTCCCGTCCTGTTCTGGTGAGAATGCGAGTTGGGGAGTTTTGACGTAGTTTTGGAGGTGATAGATGTGTGGGGAGATTCCGTTGGATAGTATCAGAAGAGCTGTTTTATGTTCTGCCGCCCGTTGTCTGAGGGCTCGTCTTTCTTCACTGTCGTTCCAACGAGGGGGTTCTAGAATTCTCTGTTCGTAGACTTCAATCGGTAGGTGCTCTAGGTGTATTGAATTGAACCTGAATAATTCTCTGGATGCTTGATCAGATTCCCAAAAGCAGGTTCGAGCAGCTGAGGATGCGTCCACAAGTAAGTGCAACGTATTGGCGGAGTTGGGAGATTTCAAATGCTAAATTGTCGACGGCTAGAACTAGTCCTTCTAGTTCAGAGATGGGAGAAGAGGCGGCTGATGAGTCTTCATAGTACTCAGTTTCTGCGCTGCTGTGGGCGGGCTGGGGGTCCATGGCAGCGTTGACAGATACTGCAATGTGGAGGTCTCTGTTGTTGAGGGCGTGGTGAAACTCTTCAAGGGAACGGTGTTCTTCGTCCATTACTAGACTTTCTCTGATGTTTGACACTTTGACGATTGTAAAAGTGATCAAAGACGACGGCTAGGGTGAGGACCTGAGCAAGAACAAGTAGGAGTATTACTTCGAGGTGGGTAGGAATGTTGGAGAGGACAACTAGCGAGCTTAGCTAGAAGGCAAGTGGATGTTTTAACGGGTAGGAGGACGGTGAATGACAGCACGTCCGAGGGATGAAGGAAAAGGTAGGTTAGGGCTATAATGGGTTCAAGCGAGATGGTGCACTGTGAACGGATTTGTAGAGTGAGTTTTCTATTTTGTGAGGCAATGATAAACTATAACAAAAACGAAACCTGTCTCCTTCTGCACTTGCAGGGAGTAAGGGGTTTGATGAGCTTGAGGTTGACAGACACTAGTAAATATAGCGAGTAGAGGACTTTGAGAGGTAAGCTTCAAAGGTTTTCGTTGAGGAGTAAAGCGGGTAAATTCAGTAATAGAAAACTAAGGAGCCATACATGAATAGGTAAGGCTTTTATATAGTGAACTGTTCGTTCCTCAGACCGAAAGGAGAATATACGAAAAGTGGTCTGAGGAATCAATCGGCCAATAAGAAAAAGAGAGAACAACTATTGTACAACTTTTAACTTGATTAATCAGCGGTGAGAGATTTGTTATGCGTGTTCAGGAACCGTATCCTCATGATGAGGTACGATCCTGAACAAAGTGTTTATTAGTATATCCAGGCTTTACTGGGGCTTGGAGCTGGTTGGCAAGATGCCTCAATTGCCTTTTCTCCAGGGGGTAGTTCCACAAGTGACCAAGTTCCATTGTGCTCATGAGCTTGGAGCTCTTCCATGGCTGCTTCTCTCCATTTCTCTGCATCAGGACACTTCATTGCATCTGCAAATGACCTAGGCTCAGCAGAGTCTCCAAAGTGTGCCACTTCATCATCAACTGCCTCAGAATCACTACTATCACTGTTATCACTCTCAATGGTAGGAGTAGGTTGTCTGTGTTGAAGCTACCATGGTCTAGGTGGTCTCCTAGCCCTTGCAGGGCATCTCAGTGCAATAGGCAAGTCAGGAGAAGGTGAGTGATGAGGAGGGTGATCTGGAAGCTCAAGAGGTTGATTCACAGGTGGTTTTGCATCAAGGTCCAAATCAGGCCCATCATCAGGCAAGTGCTAAGGTTGCTGAGGTTGCTGAAGTACAGCTAGTGGGTCAATATCTCCCCCTGGACCTGGTGCAGGGACATCCTCATCCAGGCCCAAAGGCATGGGAAGTGAAGGTGGCAAAGGTGGAGTAGGAATGGCAGTGGTAAAAGTCTTTTTCAAGCCAGGGAAGTAGCGCTCATCAAAATCAGCTCTCTCAGAGATAATGGTGCATTTGGTGGTAGGATTGTAGAATTTCCAACCCTTGTACCCAGCAGGGTAACCAATGAACACACATTTCTCCATGTGAGAGCCAAAGACACCTCTCTTATCCTTTTGCACATGCACATAAGCAGTGCACCCCCAAACACAAAGGTGTGACATGTCTGGTTTATGTCCATGCCACAATTGATAAGGAGTAGCATTGACCACTGCATCAGTGGGACACCTATTCCAGACATGCACCAAGGCACCTAGACATTCACCCCAGAAGATATTAGGCAATCCAGACTCTGAAAGCATGGTAGTGATTCTTTCAGAGAGAAGCCTGTTTGCTCTTTCTGCAACTCCATTCTGCTGAGGCCTATTCCGGGTGGTATGCTGTCTGACAATGCCATGATCATCTGTGAATTGCTCAAACTCCTTGGAGATGTACTCTCCCCCTTTGTCATCGCGCAGAGCCTTGATTTTTCGCTCTAATTGAGTCTCAGCATAAGCCTTGAAACTCTTGAAAGCATTAAAGACATCTGACTTGGCCTTCAAAGGGACAACAACACGAAATTGAGTGTAATCATTGATGAAGGTGACCCAATATCGATACCCAGAGAATGAAGGGGAGGAGACTTGGTGTACATCAGAGTGGATGAGGTCTAGAGGGTGAGCAGAGCGATGAGAAGATGAAGGGATTCGGTTGGCAGATATTTTTCCAGACAGACATGGTTCACAGATAGGATCAGGAGTAGATTTAGACTCAAGTGTCATTCCAGTAACAAGGTTTCCTTGTGTCAATATCTTGACATCAGCATAGTGGTGGTGAGCCAATCTTCGATGCCAAAGGTTTAAGTCAAGTGGAATTGTTGCAGAAAAGTGTCCCAATTCAACACAAGAAATAGTGGATCCATCAAGGAATGCAGCATTATTGTTGTTGATGGTTGCAGTGAATAAGAGAGTGTTGCCACGTATGAAGGACATAGATTGAAATGAAATGATGACTTTAAAACCACTTTGACGAGTTGAGTACAAGACTGAGAGGAGATTATTTCGAAGATCTGGTACATGCAACACTCTGGAGAATTCTACAGCCCTTGATTTCTTGCCATTGATGATAGGGTTAAACACCACAGTACCAATACCAGCTGAATAAACAACAGTATGATCTGCTAGCTTTATGGGAACACGATATGGTGCATAATTGCGAATCCAGTGACGATGAGGTGTCATATGAGAAGTGGCACCTGTGTTTGCATTCCAATCAATGTCGGCATCAAGCTGGAGAGGGCAGTGTAAGTCAGAGGGATGAATAGAGTGGAGGCTTGCATTTCTAGCCGACTCTGCAACCACAGTAGAAAAATGGTATTTTGCACCAGGTATGGCAGATTGATTACAATGATGGCAGTTAGGAGATGAGCAAGAACAATGAGTAGGAGCAGAATATGAATGAGGAGTACATTTAGTTTTATCCATGGTGTGGAAATGAGCTGGCAAAGCAGTGGAGGTGGATAATGGAGAAGGTCCAAAAAGTGCACAGAAAGGTCCAAAGGGTCCAAAAGAGTCCAAAAAAGCGGTCCAAAAGCGGTCCAGGAGGGTGCTAAGGCTTCCTAGTGCTGCTACAGGGTTACACCTGTGTTCCCCTTTCAATACTACACTGATATTAACAGAGAAATCACCTCGAGACAGTGTTGGTTAAAAGGGCTTGTATATGAGTCAACAAAGTGACTTAAGTTCCCCAAACACCGCAGACTGAGAGAGGCTCTGGGCAACAGCAAACTGAGGCAATGCAGGCGAGCTTCACAGTCTATAGGCTTGTTCTATCTGATAATGGACAGAGCAGAGAAGATTGGAGCTTTATGCAAGCACCAGATATGCCAAAAAGCAAAAATATAGGCCAAAATAATCAAAATTGTCACAGGGACAGATGGAGCGGATGGATTGCCCCCAAAATATAGGTGTGGAGAGCGATTATATGGTGCAATAGATAGGCCAAGTATGGCCAGAAACGAAGCACAGGGAGTGGAGGAGTATAATAGGGGTGGAAGTGGTCATCAGAAAATGATAGGGGCTCACAAGGAGATCAAACTCAAAATCCACCACTCTGAGAAGTCTCCTAGGGTTTTCAAGGTCGTAGAAGACAATGGTAGGAGTTTGGGGACAATCAGATAAGGATTGGGTGAGATATGGCACTGATAAGGCCAAAAAAGCGTCCAAAATGAGGTTCCAAGCAATAAAGGCTTATAGGGAGTGATTCAGATGGAATCAAAGCAAACAGAGATGATAGAGAGGGTTATCAGAGACCCAGAAGACAATTTGCAAGAGGGATAAGCAGTAGGGTGCTTGGATGATGAGGTATGAAGTCAGGAAGATGGCTAGAGCACAGGGCTCATAACCTGTTAAAATTGGATAATGACCAGACCAGGGATTGAACCTGGAACCTTCTGGGAAGTGTCTAGCCACTTGCTGAGAGCTAACAGGGACAGAACTAGAGTCCAGTATGAGTAACTATATTATCAGAGAGTACAGAATTGTTGGACACAACAGATAACGGGGCAAGCGTTGACGAAGGCTGTAAAAGGAAAGTGAGAAGGATGGGGTGGCCCGTGCATCCAATATACCACCATCAAAAAAATTTATACTTCCGTTCACCTACATATAGCGAGTCGTCGCGAATGTAATCACCTCAGTTGTTCCCCAGAACACTGAGGTGAGATATTTACTTATTCTCTATCAAGTGTACCTAGCTCATTAGACTTCCCAGTCCCCGTGTTATTATAGGTACTTACTTCAATACATGAGTTGTTCCCCAGAACACTGAGTCCCCGTGTTATTATAGATCAGTAATCTCTTTGAAGAATGTGTACAGTACCTAGAGTCCAGTATGAGTAACTAAAGAATAGGAATACTGGACTCTGCAATACTAGTCCGAAGTTTTGTAAACAAAGGTAAACAAATCAGCCACAAAGGCGAAATTATAGAATGCTCAGTGAATACTGAACAATACAGCAAAAAGAATAAAGAGGAAAGTGATTTAGAAAGAAGGGAAAATAGATAGCACAACTAGGTGCAGAATCACCAAAACTAACATGAAATGCATCTAACACAAATCCGGTGCAGGGCTTGTCGCGATGCCCCCAGCATTGATGTTTGGCACTAGGGTGTCTCATTAACATGATCTAGCATACAGAAGTACGACATTGTTTCTGATTCATGGTAGCAGAGCATTTTGAACCTTTTCCCCAACATTACATTTCAGAATGTGCGTATATTCCTTGTAATGTAACCTAGAAGATGCTTATATCCCACACTCGTAACTCTGGCATACGACTAGGATGTGCGTGGCAATATTTCGCGATAGATGATTATTGACCCCACTTTTTATTCGCGCATTGGCTCGGCAGATAGTAAGTCAACTGAAAATAAGGGCATTGAAACTGAGCTGATGTACTTCCACTATACACAGAATGTATGTCATTTCAATATGCGCACACAGGACGTAAGTAATGTAGTATCTGCTTGACGAGTATCTAAAAGAGGGAAGGCTGATAAGTCTACTGAGCCAGTTTGTGTGTCATCTACTCATCTGATCAGGCTACTTGCTGACTTGCTTTTTCACGATCAATCTTTCAGTTTGTGCATTGTTCGGGACTTCTTCTGGTAAAACTTTCTACTGAGACTTGATATGCTTGCGATTCTTTAGACGGTAAGTGCTCTTATGCGCTGTATCTCGTGCTGGATCACCTTATCATTGTCTTGCGTTCCGACAGTTTCACAATTTTGTATGTGCCCACTACTCCACTGGAAATGCTCCAGATCGCTCACTATTGCGGCCCTATTATATGTTATCAATAGTCTGTACATAGTCATGTTCCCGTTTTGTGAAAGGGTTGCTACTCACATTATGACGGGGTCTTCGATAAATACACATTCCTAAATTACATTAAAAATCGCCCGCTAATTGCTCCACCATTTCATGATAACCTTCTAAGGGAGTACGTCGGTCTCGATTTTATTTAGCCAGATTTGGCACTGACCGTTATGCCCTCTTTGACGTTCTCAGGGAGTACGTCGCTCTCAATCTTCCTTAGCCAGATTCGGCACTGACTGTCATGCCCTCCTCCACGTTCTCAGTTTGTACGTCGCTCTCAATCTTCCTTAGCCAGATTCGGCACTGACTGTCATGCCCTCTTTGACGTTCTCAGAGAGTACGTTGCTCTCCAACCTGTTTAGCCAGATTTGGCACTCACTGTCATGCTCTCTTTGACGCTCTCAGTTTCAGGGAGTACGTCGCTCTCGATCTTATTTAGCTAGATTTGGCACTCACTGTCATGCTCTCTTTGACGCTCTCAGTTTCAGGGAGTACGTCGCTCTCAATATTCCTTAGCCAGATTCGGCACTGACTGTCATGCCCTCTTTGGCGTTCTCAGGTAGTACGTTGCTCTCGAACTTTTTTTTAACAAGATTTGGCACTGACTGTCATGCCCTCCTTGATGTTCCCAGAGAGTACGTCGCTCTCTATCTTATTTAGCTAGATTTAGCACTGATTATCATGCCCTCTTTGACGTTCTCAGGGAGTACGTTGGTCTCGATCTTATTTAGGTTCTCAGGGAGTACGTTGGTCTCGATCTTTTCTAGCCAGATTTGGCGCTGACTGTCTTGTCCGCCTTAACATTCTCAGAGAGCACGTCATTACGTTGTCTCTTGTATTGCGTTCTCTCTGATGGCATATATCTATTCATATTCTGCTCTTTTGATGATCTTAGGATGTACGCTGTTTTCTTCTTTCATTGGCATATGTTGTTTTCACCCACAAATCACATTTTTGCTCACTTTTTGCTCAATCTCCAGGATGTAAGCTGATGTTCGTCTCCTGCCTTGTATACTAATCACCAATGTTGTTTCTGTTATCAGAACATCCGCGAGGCGTGTGCAATCTTCCAGTGTGAGTGCACAGTTTTCTTCTTTACGGATTTGTTTCATTGAGACAATCCACCCCCTGCAGTATCTGTGCCGTACAACCAATACTGAAATATGTGAATTTGAACCTGAAGATGGTTGGGAACATTCCTTGCATTGCGCGAAAGCATCCTTACCAACTTTCTTGCACCGCAGATCGTATGTTGTCATTTTCCATCGTCTTGCCAAAATTCACAACTATATTCATGTTGCGCACTGTGACCGGAAATATGTGGAACGTGCGAATAAGCTTGCTGCATAGTGTTTCTACATCCACCACGAATGTGTATGGCATCCTTGATTTTCCTTGCAGAAAGTATGTACACACCATCGAGACCTACTTTTGAGCTGCCAATCATTCCAACTTACTCCTAGCGGCTGTGTCATTCGTTTCATCTCGACCTCATGGACATTAGTTCAATGTTATGTATGTGATACGTTCGATCGATAGCGCGTATGTGAGCCATACTTTTATATTTTTCACATTGTTCTTAATATCTGGTGCTACAGCAAGCCCGTGGGCCATTACAGATTCAACATAGTCTAGCCTCGCGTACTCTATCGGCCGATGTAGGTTAGTTCCCAACACTTGCCCGAGCTATGCCGTGGCATAGCTGATCCTCATACACGGGCCTTTTCGCATGGGAGAACCACCGCCAAAGCGTGCAAGGCAGTAGTCGAAGGCATGCCAGAAGGGCGCGTAAAGGTATCCTGCTTATTGTGGATGGGGATGAGGCGCATAGGGTGCCTGTGTGCGCGACTGTTGATCTTTAGGTACTATCATCTTCCCGTTTTCGTATTGGAGGCGATTGGGTAGGATGGGTCTGGCTGGTAGACGTCGGGTGACAGCGATTCGGAGAGGATTGAGAAATGAGCAGATGGAAAGGGCGAAGGGGAGAAGGGGGGAAGGGGGGCCGGGGTGAGGATGGGGGATAAGGCGTGTGTCTTTGGATTTTCCTTTTTCTTGCAATGGTTTCGTCACATTGTTTGGATTGTTTGTATGTCGGCTGCTGCGTTTGTATTCTGAATTGATAGACCTTGATGGTCGTTCATGGTTTAATGACATCGCAAGTTTAAGGATGCGTTCACATTGAAGCCGCTTACTGGGCAGTCACAATGCAGGAAATTGCAAGATACTCAAGATGCTAGGATCGTGCAAGAACGCAGCAGGCGACGGGTAAGATCATTCATTCTCAATCATAGATAACGTCTGACTTTGCTGGTGGCGAATGCGTCCCCACCCGCCTCAACAAAGCTTCTCACCTCATCTACTCACTTTCTCTACCTCTCCCAAGTCATCTCAACAGGCAATGTTTCCATATCACCGCTCACCTCTGAACTAGACAAAAGAAGAAAGAAGGGTTCCTCACCGTGTCCAAGTCAGCGCGTTGTATGCAAACTGCCGCCCTCTCTCCTGATCATGCACCATCCCGGTGACGTTTCCTACAATCAAGTGCAAGGAACGATGCCGCAAGACACTGCCTGCAACGTTACTCAGCCCCAAGCTCTGGAGTAACAGAGCTGACTTGGGGTGTGTGTTCGTTTAATAAAATGATTACGTTGTTGCGGAAAACTGAGCCGAAGGAGGCAGGTTTCACGTTCTTCGAGGAGTAGCTATTTTGAGAAAGAAAATTGAGGCATCGGGGGAGGGGTTGGGGTTCACGCCTTCGTCTTTGGGGACAGGGACAATGGGTGCAAGCGCTGGGTGAGGAAAGGGCGGAGGGTATGTCGACTACTGCGTGGGTGGAAGAGTGGGCGTCGCGTCGGGTGATCAAATTAATCCCAGCCCCCGATTTCTCCTCCTCTCCCCAGCTAGGAAGGACGGTGGGGTCCATGACCTGACCCCTTTTTTTCTGGAGTTCGTGAGGTCTGCGGTTCGCAAGGTCTGAGGACGGGATCTTGAGGTTCGAATATCGAAACTTGTAGGGATACGCGACTCGAGGCTCACAGTGGTCTGGATAGAACGATAGAACGGGCTGGGAGTGATATACGTACGATGTGCAGTGTGCGACGATGCGACGGCTCCGCGTGGATGATATTCGATTGTCGACCGTCTTTGAATGCCCATGTGCTTCATTTCCTGAGGTGTGATGTAGTCGCTCGAGGGTGTGGTGTGTCTGGGCAGATCCGACTCGGAAGGACGACGGTCGAAGACTTTGATTACGAGACATGGATATATGTATGGTTTATACGATTATATAGTAAGAAGGAGGGAGCGAGGGTGGCATGAAAAACAAGAGCCACAGGACACGAGAAAGCAGGAGAGTTGGTGTTTGATCTTTGAAGGAGAGGGCGGGGTAGCAATACGAAGTAGGAGGGGCGGGTGGCACATAAGATACTAGATAGTGGATGGAACGATGGAACAATAGAGTTAGCTGGGAAGACACCAGTGAGATATGCGATCATTGATGATGCGCGATGTTCGTGTGTATAAGTAACGATCGTTGACTGCCATTGACTGTCCCCTTTTTCTTAGTTGTATTCTAGTAACTCGAGGGTGTATCTGCCAAGTCCGGTGTGAAAGTGCGACAGTCGACGGCTTTAAAGCGTGGAGGATCGATGCAGATATTGAAAGGTGGAAGAATGAGGGATAGCGGTGGTGTGGCGTTATAGTACCTATTACTTTGACTGCGAACGAGGGTGACACGATACTCAACACCTACTCTCCTCGCTCAGAAGGCATGAGACAATGACGGAGGACAGAATGGACGGGTTTGTGAGATGAGTGTACGAAACGGAAGAGAAATGTGGCTTGAAGGGGACGTCGAGTGAATGTGGATGGAAAGAGTTGCTTGGTGGAGGACCGCCTGAGCGATGTGGGTAGAGTCCGATACATATATATGTATGGACGACGATCGTAGACGTTGAGGCGCGAAAGGTCGATATGTGCACATTTAGAGGGAAAGTGGAGTAGTGTGGGGGTACGTTGAGATAAGACGAAAGAAGAAACAACCCGGTCGTCCATGACGGATGAAGGGACGAGATAAAAGGGCGGGTGAGCGCGTCAGATAGTGAGACGACAGCACGACAGGTCCGAGAGATGTGCGTTGCGGTGGTCGCGGACGAGGATGCTTGATGGATGCGTTCTTAGAAGGCGGGAGGCAGAGATCGACGTGATCGACGCACTGCAGATTCGCGGTGAGGGAGAAGCGGCGTTCTAGTTGGTGAGACATGCTAGTCGTGCGTGGTCACCATATACTCTGTGAGTGAACAGAGTGGCATGGGGATCACATGATGTGAATGATGGTGCCGACAGGTGTCAAAGTCAGGGGGGGGGAGCTTCGCGGGAAGTCAATGTGTTCTGTAAAGGTGAGATCGTCGTATGTCGTAGAGCATGTGGATACGATTGAAGGAATGGGTGGTGACTCACCGGTGGTTAGCACAAGCCATTGCAAGACTAGCGGGCCGACGACGGACAGAGGCCCTGTCCGCAGCTTTGAGAGAAGAATCGAAAGAGTCTAGACCAGAGCTGCGGAGAAGAGAGTCGAGCTAAAGATAGCACAACGCCAGACGAGACTGCCCGATTAGGCACGATGACGACAAGCTACGAACAGGACAGCGAGTGTTCTGTTACGAAGACTACTTCTCTGTCCACAGAAATAAGACGGGCGTCAGTCTCACACGTCGCATCGAAACAGGGTGACGAAAGAGATGCGCAGCAGTGGGTGGCTAAAGTAAGCGAGTGGAGTGGAGACGAGTGGAGCTCCTGTCCTTGGCGTGGTAAATCTCACTTTCAGCTCAAAGTCGAGACTCGCTCTAATCTCACTCACTCACTCACTCACACAATGACGCTCATCCAGCCCCGCTCGCTGTCCTTCAAGCTCATCGCACTCGCTCTCCTCCTTCTCCTCTCTCTCTCTTTCTACGCCCCCTCTCGCTCTCTCACCACCCTCTCTTCCTTCTTTCCCCAGCGCCGTCGCTCCACATGCACCCCCCACGCCTGGAACGACGGCTACTGGGCACCCCGCTCTCCTCCTGACCCAATCACCACCTCTGACCGCTGGAACGGCTCAATGACGCACCCAAACGACGCACTCGCCTTTGCTGGTTTCGCAGGCTGTGCCTCTGACCGCGAATTCCACTGGCACCTCGGCTCTGACACCCCTTCCCAGTGGAATCGTTGGCCAGGTCTCGCTAGTTGGATATGGCACCCAGACCCAGACTGCTCCGTTCGTCCCCTCGACGGCCCTGATATCGTCAGGGATCTGGTCATGGGCGGGGGGTGGTTGATTCTAGGCGGTAGGTCCTTCCCTTCTTTTTGGCGCGTCCGTGCAATTGACGCGTTTATGCAGATTCTATTTCCGAGGGTCACTTTTTCTCTCTATCGTGTACACTATTCCCCCACGTTATCGCAACTCCAAATTATACACAAAATCCCTACTTCGACCGCGCATGGCCTCAACACCTCTACCTCTCTCCCTCCTCCCCGCTCATCCCCCTCCTCCAAAAGGAAGGCTTTCCACCTGGGTACAGCATCGCCGACACCCCGCTCGTCACCTTCCGCAGGGTCGATTTGTTGATGAGCCAGGAAGAGCTAAATGAACTGTACGTTGACGAGTGGCTGGAGCGCGAGGACGGCGAGGCGTTGGGGGACTCGGAAACCGTGGAGATGTCACCCGAAGGCGAGGAGAACCCCTACGCCCCTCTCTTCTCAACCGAACAGGCATGGTCCCTCTCCCCCTCCGAATACCTCCCCCTCTTCCTCTCCCCCTCCTCTCCCCCCTCCCACCTCCACTACTCCACCCTCATCCTCTCCACCGCCGGTCACTGGACCACCACGCTCCTCCATGCATTCCGCGACGAATCACTGGGCGACGACGCGGGGTATGGCATTGCTGGCGTCTTGGGGTTCTTTGAGCGCGCGATGGCCGTGTGGGCGGGCAGGGTGCAGGAGGCTGTGGATGAGTATAATCGGGGCAAGTCTCTCATCTTCGTTCTTTTTTCAAATTCATCTCTTCAATGTCTCATTTTATTTCGTTCATCTCATGTCATTCCACTCATTTAATCTAATCTAATCTCCCCCCTCACAGCCACCAAACCCACCTCCCGCCGTCCCAAAACGGTCGTCGTCCGCGCCTACTTGCCGGGCCACGAAGACTGCCACGACCAGCGCGAGCCGTGGACGGAGGTGCTGCCGTACAGGTGGAAGTGGTATAACTGGCCTTGGGTGGGCGAGTTTAATAGGGTGTTTGAGGTGGGTTTCGTTCGCTTGAGGTTGTTCGGGGATGAGACTTTGGATTCCATTCGTCATCCCGATATCCTTGCCTCTGTCTCTGTTTACATGCGGGGAAGGGGAACCAGGTGATAAAACGTATACTGACGGTTTTTTTTTTTTTTTTTTGAAAACGCTGCAGAATATATTGTCGTCGCCGTCTTACCCCGATATCCATTTTTTGCCGATCGATAGGCCGGCGCGGTTGAGGCCTGATGCTGTGAGTTTATATTTTGATTTGTGTTTTCGTTTCGTGGTTTTGGCCCATCCCCCTGACACATGACACTGACACCGTTTTCGTTACACAGCACGCGACTGGCGACTGTTTGCATATCATTGCGGGCCCTGGGGTGTTGGAGGGCTGGACGCATTATATGTGGCATTATGTGACGAGGGAGGTGGGGGCTTGGGTGAGGTGAGGAGGAGGTGCTGCTGTGAGGGGTCCGAGATGATTGATGGAAGGGGGATTGGAAGGGAGGGACGGAATTGGTACCCTCCGCACGTCACCGCTCACTCACTTTATACACTCTGCCGTCTTCCCCACCCTCCGAAGGTCTTCGCTTCCTTTTATTGGCCCTTTTTTTTTTTTTTCCCAGGCGCTTTCAATCCTTCAAGTTCACTCCACCCGTTCCCGAAGGCACGCAATGCATCTTCGTCATCGTCATCGTCACCACCGACATTCCAGCCACAGCAACTTGCTATTGGAGAAGCCATGAGTATATATATATACCCAACTATATACAATACCACACGATACCCACACCCACACCCACACGATTATCTACGCTCGCTTGACTTGATGCATAAAACTTGGCCGGGAGGGACAGGGACTGGGACATGGGCATGGACTATTAGTCATAGTAGCAGCAGCAATGCGGTAGTAGTAGGAGGGGGAGGAGAGGAGGAAGGGGGGGGGGTCGTTTTTCTCAGGTTATAGAGGTCATTTATTGTATTGTATCGTACTAGATATTATACCACGCTGATACCATAACAAATCAGAAGCAATACCCCACACTACATGAGGGTGCGGTGCGCCTCGCCCCCTGGGGTCCGATGAAAATGTGTGAAATGGGATGGAGATGCGAATTGAATTTAAAAAGTGTAGCGTTCATGCGAATTGGTAGCATAACTGGGGTAGTCTAGTCCAATATAACGCTGATTTGGTGGGTGCCCCCGTTCGGTGGTTTTAAGTAGAGAGAAAACTGCACGGCACATATCGGCTTAACGGCCTATTCGGCATTGCGTAGATAGAGCAAGGACTTGGTGAAATCAGACGAAAAAATATATACTGGTGATACATTGATACATGTATTCTAATGCTGGCATAGCAACTATACAACCTGAACAAAGCCAATGGCTTTCACAAGAACGACGAGCTCAGGAGGCGGCAAAACGGCTGTCTTCTATGGCCTGCTACTGTTAATTCAAGAATTGATCACAGATCCGGTACATGGAGTTGAGGACTTTGCGACAACACCAGTTATACTGATTGTAACCCCTCTCGTTGCCTTGGGAAATACTCGGGTGAGTCGCTGAACCAGGACAAGTCATCGGGCTTACCAAACAGAACAGGCGGCTGAGGTGGTCAACTTGAACATCAAGGCCATAGGTGTACACTCGGACAGCGTCCAGGCTGCCCAGGCAGAAGGACGTGACCTCCTGGATGAGGTACGCCGGTGCGAATGGTCAGTTTCATCTGACCCAACATGAGGCAGGTGTAAGATTCCTATACCCTATGCCGAGTTAACGGAGGTATGATTTTCAAGAATCAACAAGTAGCATCAAGCACTGTATTTAGAGGTAATCAACAACTGGAGAAAAGTATGTACATGGGTGTCAATATATATACATTCTGAATGTTAGCCATGAGGCGTTGACTAATACAATCATGCAGTAGCCATGAGGCGCTGACTGATGTTGTGCATCATAGTCTAGACCTTTATCACGTGATTGTCACGTGATTAGATGTAGCTAACTACTTTGTCTTTTTGTCACATGATTGTCACGTGACTAGATATAACTAACTACTTTGTCTATTGTCACATGATTGTCATGTGATTGGATATAACTACTGCGGGTTTTGATTCAAATCGTGACATTACCCCCTCTTTAAGACTTTTGTCTCAAAAGTGAGGGTCATATTTCCCGTTTTCCCAATTAAATAATTGTTTTCGTACTCTTGTCGTAGTAAAGTTTTCGAAAGGTTGGAAATGTAGTTGAAATCGTATTCGTCGAGGTGCATTAGGATTTTTATCATGGAATGTTTTCACCTTGTCTGGTGAATTGGTTAGGTGTTGTTCGGGTTCCCATGTGCATTCCTCTTTTGGATAGTTTTTCCAATGTACTAGATATTCCAATTTTCCTCTTTTGAGACGTGAATCTAAAACTTCTTCGACTTTGTATTCCTCTCGTCCATCCACTATCACCGGTGGTATCAGTTTGGGTTTCCCTTGAGAGGGGAATTGTGGTTCTTTGTTTTGGTGAAAGGGTCATTCGTACAAAGAGTTTCTCATCTAGTAGTACAATGTCCTCATTATTGTTCCCTCCTTTATCATGATCTGATTGTCTTGAGAGCAGGTCTGCTTTTATGTGTTTTCTTCCAGGCATATGGTGTATCGTGAAGTGATATTGACTCAACTCAGTCATCCATCGTGCCTGTCGTCTATTCAACTTTCTTGGTTCTTTGAAATATAGCAGATTTTGATGATCCGTCCATATCTCAAATTCTTCTTCCGCATCTATTTAATAGTGTCTCCATTCATCAAGTGCTGTCATGATGGTGAGAAGTTCTTTGTCATAAATCTCGTAATTGCGTTCTGTAGGGTTTAACGCTTTAGAGAGGTATGCAATCAGCTTCCAGTCATCTTTTTGTTTCTGTGATAAGACAGCTCCCATTGCAGAGTCACTACTATCTGCTTCTACTTTATATTGACCATGTGGTATTGGGAGGGCTAACACAGGGGCTGAAGCTATGCATTTTTTTAGTGTGTCATATGCTTCGCATTGTTCATTTCCCCAAATGAAGTCCTCTTTTCCCGTTAACTTGGTCAATGGTTTGGCTACTTCCCCAAAGCCTTCTATGAATCTCCTATAGAAATTTACAAAGCCCAAGAATGCCTGTATGTCTTTTTTATTTTTGCATTCTGGCCATTTGCTAATTCCTTCTACTTTTACCGGATCCATGCGAATCTCATTTTCTGAGATGATCAGTCCCAGATATTCTACTTCTGTTTGTTCGAAATTGCATTTCTCCGGTTTGAGATAGAGATGGTTCTTCTTTAGGATTTCTAACACTCGTTGTGTCGTTGCTCTGTGTGTTTTTATATCCTTTGTGAATATCATAATATCGTCCAGATATATGATTACGAGTCCTTCATCTATCAATTCTTTGAAAAGTGTGTTCATCATTGTTTGGAACGTGGCCGGGGAGTTAGTTAGTCCAAAGAACATTACTAACAGTTTGAATAATCCCCGATTTGTTCTGAACGCTGCTTTTTGTCCGTCTCCTTCTCTCATTCAGATATTATTATATCCCCATCTCACATCTAGTTTTGTGAAGTATTTTGCTCCACTCAACTTATCGACCAGTTCTCCAATCAGCGGGAGTGGATATCTATTTTTGATAGTGATATCGTTTAACTTTCGATAATCTTGAACCGGTCTCAGTTTTCCATCTTTCTTTTTTATGAAGAAGAAGGGTGATGCGAATGGGGATTTGGATGGTCTTATTCGTCCCGATTCCAGGTTTCTTTTAAGAATGCATCTAATTCTTCTTGTTCTCCTCGTGCCAATGGGTAAATTTTGCAATCTAGAGAATGATCTCCTGGTATTAATTTGATTGCGTGGTCCCATTGTCTTCTCTCCGGTAGTACATCAAACTCTTTTTTATCAAATACGTCTTTGTATTGATGAAGATGTTTTGGTACTATTTTTTCAAATCCGCCTTCTTTTCGATCTTTGCCTGCAGCTTCGGCCAGTTTCTGTGCCATTGTGCCTTGAGCCCTAATATGGTAATATTGGTCATCGATTGTGGCATCTTTGAAATTTTGGAGATTTACTTGTATCATCCTCTCCCCTACTTCAAGTTCTTCAAAGTATGTTTCCGGATCTTCCTCTGGATCAGAGATTCGGATTCTCGTTTTACATTCTTCGGGACATCTTTCAAAGGTTAACTTTGACTTTTTCCAGTCTATTTTTGGATTATGCTTGTTTAGCCATTCATGTCCTAGAAACATTTTTCCATTACCTAGATTGGTTACGGCCAAATGTATCTTTTTGACGTGATCATCAATTTCCATGAATAGTATTACAAATTCGCTGATGGCTCCATTCTTGTTAAGAGTTCCATCTGCATTGTAGACTGGAATAGGTCTGGGTATTCTTCTTGTCTCATATTTTTGGTCTTTTACAAATTAGGAATCGATACAACTCCCCGTGCATCCACTGTCCAATAATGCTTTGACCATTTCTGTTTTAAGAGTGTCCAACGTAGTAAGCTTACACTTTACGTTCATTTGATTGCCTTGGGTACCCCTAATATACTTTTTAGGGGAGGCTATCTCTATGACCGCTTGTATTGCTTCTACTTTCGGTAACTGGTTGATTTCTTTTATCGTTTCCCGGGTTACCTCTTTAGTTCTCTTTTTATGTGTCCAGGCACTTAGGATTCCAATAGATCTTTCTTCCTTTTGGTCTCTAAGTCTGTCCACTACCCATTCTGGGGTCCAAACTTCTTTTTTGTCTAGGTTTTGTTTCGGAGGGGTTCCTGACCTCCCTTCTACAGTCTCTGCTGCGCTTTTCTCCGTAGAGTTTGCCGCATCGGGTGTAGGGATCTTACCATCCGCCGTTAGCACTGCACTTTTTAGTGATTTGCCCGCCGTCGAAACTGCAGATGTCTCGTCACTATGCGCCGCTTCTACTGCGGTTTTCTTTTTTGCATCCTTTTCGTTTCTTATCTCTTTCTTTGTCTGTGGGTTTTTTGTAATTTTATTGTCAATGCTACTATCTGGTAAATTACATGTTTCCACAGTCAAAGGAAGGAATTGATTCAAAATGTCTTTTTTAGGCGCAGCCGGTTGATGCGGTACCGCTGGCCTTTTTAAAAACCCTCCAGGAGTTTTTCTCTTTCCTCTTTCGTCATTTTCTCCAATAATTCTCGGACATTAAACTGTGGCTTCTTCTTCTGTGCGTCTTTGCACTCGAAGCTTCTATGTCCTTTCTCGCCGCATCTGTAACATCGCCCTTCTGTGCGGAACTTTGCTTTATCCACTTCCATTCTTTCTCCATTACTGGTATAGGTATAGCCGGTCCCATCTCTTTTCTTTTCTCCTTCTTTCCTTTGTTCCAAATTTGGTCTTTTTCCAATTTCGGAACCTTTCTTCTCTTTTTCTCTTTCTCTCCAAATATAATCGATTCATATGAGTTCTTTCTTCCATTCCTGGTAGTCTCTTGGAATGTGTCCCCCGTAGATTACCCTGTCTACTAGGGGTTTGTTCATGTTTCTTCTTAATAGCAAGATTAAGAACTCTTTGTTTATTCTGTTTGTATATCCCGCCCATCTTTTCTTTTCTTCAAACCTTTCAAAAAAGGCTTGGGCGGTTTCATTGCCCTGCTTCAGGGTCAATATTTCGTTCTTGGCAGTCTCTTTTTCAAAACTGTCCTTGAACCTTTCTTCCATTTTGTTGGTGAAATATGGCCAACTTCCGTATGTATGTGTGATGTCGAGCCCTAATTGTTGAGCGTCGACTCTGTTTACCAGCCAGTCGGTTCGGAAGGCCGCGGCTTCTCCTTCTTTCATAAAAGATAGCACAAAGCTTATCTTTTTTCTGTCATCTTTGAAATAGACAGTGTCATCTTTAAAGTGTAAAAGTAAGGACTCTCTAAAAGCCCGGTACTTTTTCTTATCTCCTGAAAAGTTCTCTGGCTTTTCTAGGGCTGTCCTACTTCTTTCCACCCTTTCTGGGGGTGGTGTTACTTTCTTTAGTCTTTTTTCTAAGACGCTCACTTCTTCTAGCGCCTCATCAAGTTGTGATTGGTATAGAAGGTGTGTTTGTCTGATTGCCTTTTCTACTTCTTGTTTTACATACACCTCTAGTGATACTTCTTTCGGCGGGGGAGTGTCTATTCGGGGTAATGAGTCCATCATTTCCCGAGTAAACACGTCGTCCGTACTGTTGGATGGCTCTGGCCGATCTCAATATTCTAGGTTGGACATTTCTGAATTCGAGTTGTAGTGGCAGGGGAGTTTCTTGTTTGATTACAGGGGAGGGATTTCTGATGGGTGTGATTTCTGGTAGAGGGAATTGTCCCTTGAAGATGTAGTCTCTGGTATAAACATGTTGTTCTCCTATCCAGATGTAGAATTCTCTACTGAGCATAGAAAGGAATTCCCCAGTGATAAGCTGGATCTATACACCGCTTTCTAAGATCTCAAGTAGTCTATCGTTTTTCTCTTTGAGCCAAGGTGATCCTCTTCTGTTCACCACTGACTATGTACGTACTGTGCTATTTTTGTATTTTACGAATTTTATGTAAAAGCTATAGTAGGAAAACTGGGTCCGAACGGTTGTCCAGTTATAACCGGCTTATTAGTGTAAGGACCGTTTTATTATTTCCTTATCTTCGCTATGTCTTGGTTCTCGAACGCTTTTCCCATTACGCCTCTGGCTCTAGGGCTAGAGGTATCGTTTGCCGTTCTACTTCTCATAGCCCTCACAGGCTTTCTTAACCATCGTTACCACTTTATATCACAGATCAGAGACTGGGCATCGCTCCCAGCCAGCCAGCACACTGGGTAGGGACTGGTAGTAGGCATCTCGCCAACCAGCTCCAAGCCCCAGTAAAGCCTGGTAATACTAATAACGCCTTATCTAGAATCGTACCTCATCATGAGGATACGGTTCCTGACCACGCGTGACAATCCTCTATTACTAGTACAAGTCTCTCACCTGCTGATTAATCAAGTCAGAAGTCGTACAATAGTTACTCTCCCTTTTTCTTATTGGTTGATTAATTCCTCAGACCACTTTTCGTATATTCTCCTTTCGGTCTGAGGAACGGACAGTTCCCTATATAAAGCCGTACCTATTCATGTATGGCTCCTTAGTTTTCTATTACTGAATTTACCCGCTTTACTCCTCAACAAGAACCTTTGAAGCTTACCTCTCAAAGTCCTCTACTCGCTATATTTGCTAGCGTCTGTCGACCTCAAGCTCATCGAACCCTTACTCCCTGCAAGTGCAGAAGGAGATAGGTTTAGTTTTTGTTATAGTTTATCGTTGCCTCACAATTAGGCTCTCGGTTCTTCTCCCGACTGGCGGACGCAAATGCGCGGCCTGGTCAGAGGAAAGCAAAAATGAAACTAGGTAAAAACGAGAAAATTCCTATGGTTCCACACCAAAGGAATTATATTGATATAAAGGTAGTTCAAAGGGGGATGGTATAGAAGGAGTCTTGGGAGGTGGTGGGTGAAACATTGGCTGGGAAGAATGATAAGATGGTGTTAGGGCGAGTGGGGATGTGATTTAGTGGGATGATGGGTTGTGTGTGAGTTGGGTAAAAGTGTTTGAGTAAAGTGAGGATGATGATGATAACAACAATGATGGTGATGGTGATAGCTGCTGTTACATTCATAGACGGTACTTGTTACAGTTGTTGATTGTGTAAGATTCCTATACCCTATGCCGAGTTAACGGAGGTATAAGTTTCAAGAATCAACAAGTAGCGTCAAGCACTGTATTTAGAGGTAATCAACAACTGGAGAAAAGTATGTACATGGGTGTCAATATATATACATTCTGAATGTTAGCCATGAGGCGTTGACTAATACAATCATGCAGTAGCCATGAGGCGCTGACTGATGTTGTGCATCATAGTCTAGACCTTTATCACGTGATTGTCACGTGATTAGATGTAGCTAACTACTTTGTCTTTTTGTCACATGATTGTCACGTGACTAGATATAACTAACTACTTTGTCTATTGTCACATGATTGTCATGTGATTGGATATAACTACTGCAGGTTTTGATTCAAATCGTGACAGCAGGCATAGTGATTAGCATAGAGTTTTCGCTGAGTGCTGAGCTTGCTGACAATCAACGGAGCTTGAATAGTGTTCATGTTTTTGCTGTATTGACACCAAAGTGTAGCACTCTGCACGCTGTCATGCACCAAAGTTGATTGGTAGCATGGACAGGTGTCAATAACAAAGCAAATATTCAATTAGACTCGCCTTTGCGCCACACAGGCACAGTGCCACGTGGAATAGTAATTAATATTGCCCTTTTCGAACTTGTGGCTGATCAGCACCACCTCTATTAGGCAATCCAGTCATGCTCACCTTTGCTTTTCCATCCGGTACTTTCCGCATTTCGGCATTTTGGCAAATTTTCGCGTCGCCACTGGCTACACATTGCATTGCGCCCTCGCTTTTGTCGTTTCCCTTACTCCCCTTCCTTTGCCTAGCCCCACCATGGGCCCCTTCCTCTCCTTTTTATTCTCACCTGACGGTTGTTTCTGGATCCCCATTCTAATCCACTTTTCCGTCACCTCCACCCTCCTCCTCCTCATTTTATTTGCACCCCCACCATTTCTGATGTCACCACTTCCTATCCACTTCCGTTGCCGATCCGTTGACTACCACGTGCCACTGCTGATATCAGCAAAGCCCCGGCGGCCGGTTCAAATAGGGCAACAGGTCCATCTTTATGACGTCGATCTACCATCATATACTATCAAAACATCGGTCGCTCGTCTTGCCTGGTTGGAGCGTGGGTGGGTAATTTTTGAGCTGGAGAAGGTTCATCCCCTTGCGTTGCCCATGTTCATTGCTGTCCCATTCACTTGGGTACACTTATATTTTGTCCATCGTCTTCGCTACAGCTACACCTACCACACGCTGCCTGGGACTCACTTGTTCCAAATTGGAACTACTCCTCTCCCTCCCTCGTTTGATCAGGTGGTCCAACACAACCAGTCCATTGGTAAGGCCATGGAACTGTCGGATTTGGACTAGGTGGTGGACCGGTGGCTCCAGTTTCTTTTTCTTCAGCAGAACATTCATTTACAGTGCGATTATTTTTGATTTTTGAATCATTTTTATGGACACATATTTTTTTAGAATGCCTGACTGACAATAAAGGAACTGTGTTGATACTGATAGTGTTTTGCCTTGCCCTTTTTTTACTGCATCTTCCCATGACATCATGATTTTCCTGCTCTCTTTTTGCTATTGGACTTTACTTTATGGCTGTACAAACCTGTGACATTACTCACAGCATTCATTGTTCTATCTCTTTCTTTTCCTTTTTTGACAATCTTATCCTGTACTACCTACGCAGGATTCGTCAGCATACATTCCTTCCTTCATGTTCTTTCTCATTCTTTTTGCACAGCTATACTGTGCATAGCCTACTTTTCTTTCACTATATAAACCCCTGTATTTTACCTTGTAAAAGAAAAAAGAACTAAATTCCAGACTTCTTCTCTAATTTCAAGTTCACTACTCTGCTGCTTGTGATCCAGTGTGGTCACAACACTTCCCACTGCTACCACTGTTAACTGCTGTCATCGTCACTTCCCACTTTTGAAGTCATTCTTATCTCTTTTGATTAGAGTCCTTCTGAGCACTACAGTTTGTGCGTCAGGAGCCTGCTATCACTGGGAACCTTGTCACCTCGTCATCCTTGTTGTTCTCAAACCTACCTTGTGCTAAGATTAGCAAGGTAGTGCTCATCCTATATTCGTCTCAAAAAGCCCCTATCTTCTATAGTTCAACTATCCCTCCTCCTCAAAACCCACACCCATACATCTCTGGGTTTTACTTTGAAGGATCGTCATACATACCACCCCACGAACAACCAGAGCACCCACTGTTCTAGGAGGCAAAACCCATAAACAAGTTCCGTGGAATCTGGGAGGATTGTGTGTTAGTTTGTTTTGTGTGTGGTTTTCTAACAACAGTTCTCATCATCAACATCGGACCTCAATTTTTGCCCTGCCATCCATCCGCCAAAAGGATACTACCTCAATTCACGAGCACCTTGTCCGCCTGGCAGGATACAACTTTGGATCATAAGGGATCTGTCTGCACAGCAGGATATGACCTCAGATTGTGAGGGATCCATCCGCACAAACAGAGAGAGGACAGTAAGTAGAATGCTATAGTATGGCTAGTGTACAAAGGGAGGTATATGCATTAGTAGTCAATAAAAAGTAAAAAAAGGATGCCAATCAGGTATCTTCGTCACTGCTGAAGGTATCCTCTTCGCCGTCAACGCCCTCTGCCCCCAAATCTTCTGCATCATCGGCGCCGTTTGGCAATGCATCTGTGAACACCAGCCCTCCCCCACGGTGGGCCTTGATAAGATGCTGTACAGCGGCATGAACAGCGTGAATCCTGTGGCACAATGCCTACATAATACCTGTAGAGAAGGGACAGAGTGTGACTAAGGTGAAAAGGTGGACATTGTTCGTTTCTATGGAACAAATGGTGAGCACAAACATACCTAGTGTTCAGGGCTACAATATCGAGTTGCAAGACAGTGAGAAAAGTGTCTGTCGCTTGGCACTGGTGTTTGGCAACATCGTGGCACAGCGCAAAAAGTGTTGCTGTGAAAGTACGCACACCACATATGACAATGTGCACTCGATGTGCGTGGTTGACTGGGGGCTTGCCAGCGGTAGGTGAGATCAACAACCCACATGAGCCCACATGCCGTCGAAGCCTCATTCATCCAAAGGTCTGATCAGACATTGCTACCAACGTCCGCCACCCAGGATCGGACATTTGCCAGATTTTTGGCCTTTCCGTCAGCATAGGGATCCAACATCGGGCCATTTTTAGGGTGGTTTCCGTCCGCCCAGTGGCCATGGATACCACATCCAAGCCAATACGCGGGGGTCCTCAGTGGACTCAGACTCGGATGTTTCTGTTGAACAGCGGCTGAGACTCTTGTTGATGACGTTCATTCGCTAGTCTACCTGTCGAGCTAGGGAGATGATAGTGTTTTGATTGAAGTAGAGCTGGCTACAAGCAACGGTGATGTAGCCTGAGCTTTAGTCTCGTCAAAGGTTTTGTGACCCTCCACGTCGACGTTACGTCCGTATGAATATCAACACCAGATTTTACTAAAAGCGCTGGAATATGTTTTGATACAACTCGGAGTCTCGATAACAGAGCCAATTCTGGAATCTTTCGCTACCCTTGCTACTAAGACCAAGTAACATTCATACAAACAGTGTGTCGACGAATATGCTGAAACTTTCATCAATAATTTCAGATCGCTCTTTGAACCCTCACCTGTTTGTGAAATCTTACAAGACCTTGCCTCTACTACAAATGACTAAGATTGCAAATGGTAGTTAGTATTCTCTACACTTTCTATTCGAAACAACTCCCGGTGTTGTATTACTACGTGTAACAAAATGCCAAAGAAAAGGAAATCATCATCGCCAGCATTAATCATCATCGTCCAACGAGGACAAGCAAAAATACCAACGATCCCTCTAGTCGACGTCCATCTCGGGGGGCGCTGGTGCCTCCTCAGCCTTCGCGCCAGCCGCAGGATCAGGCGTCTGGGTTCCGCTCTGCGGAGACTGTGTCCCGTTCGGCGTTCCGGTAGGTGTAGGCTCGACCTTCACAGGCTTGGGCTTGGGCTTGGTCAAAATCGGGACGGCAAAGTAAATCAACTCGTCCCTCTTCTTCCCGATCTCTGCAGTCGTCAGCACAGGGTCTGAGTTCTTCGGCCTCTCCGCCTGTCGCGCAATTTGGTCGTCGAGCCACTTTTGAATGGTTGCACACTTCTCTACAACGCGCTGCTTGTCCTTCTCGTCGATGTGGGCGAACTTTTCGTCGAGAGAAGTAGCCTGGGCGAGGTAGTCGTTCAAAGAGGCGCGAAGCTCGCTGATAGAGCGAGGTCGGTCTTCATACTGGCGGTATCGGAGAACGATGGGGTCACCAACAACCTTAAGTGAATCGAGCTTTCCAACGTATGCAGACTTGGTAGCATCCTCGCCTTCCTCGGAATACAGCCAGTCTTCTGCATCCTGCAACAGACCAAGAAGTGTCACCTTCTCTGCGGCCTGAACATAGGCGGCATAGCGGTCATCAAGCTTTCCACGTGTGTCATATACATATTCTTCGAGCGCATTTTTACGATCCTGTGGAGTTCGTTCATGATTCAATTCTCCCGCCATGGAAGTGCGGAAAGATGATTGGGACTTACCTCGGTATCCATAACAAGCTTGTCAGCAGCGTGCATTTGTGCTTCCTGTTCCTTCAAATTTTCGACGATAGAGTTATCTAGGGACGATGTTCCCGTCACGAATGGTACCTCCTTCTTCTTCACCACCTTCTTCTTCTTCGGGGGTGCGGCATCAGCACCATCAACCTCCATCGGCACCTCCTCCTTCTCCTCTACCTCCTCCGTGTATGCAGCCTCGAACGAGAGAATGCCGTGCAAGTTCAGGCGTGTCTTCAGCTTCACACACGTGAGGTCTCCCTTCGAATCAGGCGGTACACTCTTCGCAGAGAAACGCGCAATCCACGGGTTAATACCTCCTGGCAGCTCAGTCGGGTTGACATATCGCGCCTCGATATCAAACGAATCCTTCCTGTAGAACGTGAGTACCTTTGTCGACGGAATCCCATTGCCACGCGGGAACACAACGAGTTCGGTATCGTCATCAGGGTCGCTAGGGGTAGGTTCCCACTGCACCTTGATTGGGTAGTGGGCAATGTCGTGCACCGCGAAGTCACGCACACGGAATGTAGGCGAAAGCATCGCGCATGCAAAGGTGGCACCTCGAGCAATAGCCTCGTCCTGGTTTAGCGTCGTTGACAGCGGCTTCCCACCCACAGCGTCCTGAATCTGTGCCCGCACAGCAGGGATACGTGTGGTCCCACCAACAAGTTCAACGGAGTCAATTTGCTCGAGAGTGAGCCCAGACTCGGCAAGCGCCTGCTTGATTGGTGTGCCCACGCGACTAAGCACGTCAGTGAGGAGGCCCTCGTAGGTTTCGCGCGAGAGCTTAGACGACGCGTCAATATCGTTCATAATAGATTCGACATTTAGGGGAGCCTCCGAGTTGGCAGAGAGCACTTTCTTGAGGCGCTCACAACCGACTGCAAGACGGAACATCGCCTTTGGGCTCGAAAGTACGTCAATCTTGTATTTCGTCTTGAACTCTGCTGCGAAATATTGCAAGAGTGCGTAGTCGACGTCACGGCCACCCAAGTGACGATCGTAGGCAGTGGCTTTAACAGTGAGCTGCCCCTTGGCGAAGGCGATGATGGTGACGGACATGGATGAGTGACCAACGTCGACGAACATGACATTACGAGGATTTTCGGGTTCGGGAAGATCAGATTTGGTGATGCCGTACCCGAGGGCAACGGCTGTGGAGTCATTGATGAGGCGCAGGGCGTTCAGCCCAGCGACGGAGGCTGCATCAAGGAGGGCACGACGTTGGACATCTGTGTACCACCCTGGAACTGCAATGACGAGGTCGGTGACAGCAGTTTTGAGCTCATTAGAGGTGATGTCGCGGAGCTTGCCCAGGTACATTGCGACAAGCTGGGTTGCAGAAAAGGTCTGCTTTTCACCGAGATATGACACCTAGAATGCACCGATTCAGTATTTTTATGATGTTTGATGGAGAAATGGCGATATGTATGTTTACCTCTGCGCCTACAGTCCCTGAGACGTCTACCAGCGTTGCATTAAGATACTTCTTCTCTATTTGGATCTCGGGATCCTGGAACGTCCGACCAATGAGACGCTTGAGGCATCCGATAGTATTCCTGAAGTTTGATGTTTCCTGCGTTTTGGCAGACTCGCCGATGGATCGTTGTTTTGGGCCGAAGGCAACGAGAGATCTGTGACGTTAGGATGTGCTGATCAGCACAGATTGATAAATCCTTATCGAAAAAAGTAGGCGTACGGTGTAGCACGATTGGAGACCTCATTGACGATGATATCGATGCCTCGATGCCTTGCAACACCGATCTGTAGAAAAAGAGAAAGTAAAGAAAATATCAAAAGTGAGATACTGGATTGTGATCTAAGCGTGGTCCGGCAGTACCTTACTGTGCAGAGTCCCAAAATCGACACCCACTACTGCCATTTTTGTGGTTCGTTAAAAGCGTTCGTACGATAGAAATTGGTTCGTAAAATGACCTTTGCAAGATCAGCGATACAGGTGAGGTGAGGTGTAGCAGGAGGCAAACGCGTTGTGCTCAAAATTTGGATGGAGTGGCTAATATTATAGCGGTGGCTGAGTTTTTTTTTCCTCTTTTGAGCTTTTTCGACATCGCGTTTTTGATGTATTTTCTCGGCGGTTCTACCAAGTTCTTTCTTGTTCTTCTGACAGTTCCCTTCTTGCACTCTATAAGCCAAGATTAGATACCGCAATCTTGTGACTTAAAAAAAGACTCGGTCTCCATGTCTGTGATTTCTGCGTACATCATATATCAGATAAGTCAAGAATGAGCGTGATGGATTCATCGCAAGACACAGTACGATACTTGGGACTCCAGTAATATTCCGATGTAAGTAAAGTATGAGTAAGTAGAACAGACTTTTATGAAGCTGTGATAGGAAATACATCGAAGATATTACTGTTACAAATCTACGTTTTGATGGGCCTTTGATGACCTCTAAACCTGACCCGCAGGTCCAGGTGCAGCGCCGGATGTGTTCGTTGCGTTTTCTATGGGCTTCATGGCTGGGAATAATAATACTTCTTTGATATCTGCAGTGTGAAATGGATGAGTATGGAACGAAGATCTGTGAAAGACCAACGCACTTGTCGAGTTTGTTAGGAACATGACCAGACGGTCGATACCGATTCCCCATCCTCCTGTGGGAGGAAGACCGTGCTCGAGACTGGGACAGCGATGAGCTGAATGAGAGAGACGTGATATTATGAACCGACGTACGCGTCAACAAATGTCTCATCGATAGCCTGTGCCTCGTCATCACCCTGTTCCTTTTGCCTAAACTAGTTGAGACACACGATCAATACTCGGATCGTATAAGAGCATGATTAAGGATTCTTACCTGCTCTTCGAACCTAAGTCTTTGTTCAAATGGATCGTTCAATTCAGTGTAGGCATTGCAGAATTCCTTGCCACACATAAAGCCCTCGAACCGCTCGCAGAGACCAGGTCGGGATCGATGCCATTTGGCAAGAGGCGACATAACTTGGGGATGGCCAACTGATTTTGTAGCGCGTGTCAGATGATGAAAAAGAAAATGATCATTATTAACGCACCGATAAATGCAGGGGAGATACAGAGAGGCTCGATGTACTCTCCGACAAGCTGAAATAATGATTAATTTCAACGCGATAAAAAAGTAAGAGCAAATACTAACCTTATCAAGCAATCGGGCGTTTGTCCGTGGCTCGCTGCAGTCCACGTTGTGCTGGAAATTATTTTTGATTAGATACTGCAGGATTGCTGAGAAGTGTGACTTCACCTTCTTGCACAGTTCCCTCAAGAACGTGTTAGTCTCATCAGTATGCAACGTATCACCCGGTGGGAACTTAACACCGAGCTTCTCCTCTAAAGTGCCGATCATGTCGTACCTCTTCCATGGAGTCTTGAAATCGAGCTCGTATTCCTTTCCGTCCTTGCCCTCAGGCTGATACTTCAGCGTTGTGTTTCCACCGGTGAGGTACTTGACCAAGCCCTCGACCATGCTCTCGGTCAAGTCCATGATGTCATACATATCCGCATATGCCATATAAAACTCGCAGATAGTAAACTCCGGGTTATGCGTGAGGTCAATACCTTCGTTTCTAAACACCCTCCCGATCTCGTACACGCGATCAAGGCCTCCAACGACAAGCTGCTTGAGGTAAAGTTCTGGGGCTATCCGGAGGTAGAGATCGAGGTCAAGATCGTTGTGGTGAGTCACGAACGGCTTGGCGGTAGCTCCGCCAGCGATCATGCTCGTCATGGGTGTTTCGACCTCGAGGAACCCGAGGTTGTCGAGGAAACGGCGGACGTAATTGATGATGCGGCTGCGAGTGACGAATATGCGACGAGTTTCGTCGGAGATGATGAGGTCGAGGTAACGCTTCCTGTACCGGGTCTCTTGATCCTTCAGACCGAAATGGGCGGAGGGCAGCTGGTGGAGGTTGGGGGCAAGGAGTACCATCTCAGATGGTGCAATGGACAGTTCTCCCTTCTGACTTCGACAAGGTGTACCCACCACACCGACGACATCACCTCGACGGAAGATATCATGAGTGGCCACAAAAGTGTCGGGATTTGCAGCATCTCTGGAAGCAAATCAGCAAGGAAGATCTTGTTAGGATGACGAACGGGGACGAGACCTCTGATTTGCTAGGATCTGCACTTTCTTGCCTTCTCCATGCAGATCGTAGAATATGAGCTTCTGGCCCGATGGACGCTTGGTGTGGATACGGCCTGCTATTGATACGGTGACGCCTTCAAGCTTCTTGCCCGGTTGTATCTTGCCCTCCACACTGAATTTCTCGATGAATGACACGATGGATGTCGAAACATCGAACTTGTGAGGGTATGGATTGGGAGATTGCGTTTCACGTAGCTTCTGGATGGCTCGCGAACGCAGTTCAAAGTATTGCTGCGATCAGACATCAAATCATCAGCATCAGGATAGTTTAACGCTCAGATCGATAAGCAGAATAGACAATGAACATGGGTGCACAACGCAACCCCCGCACTGATCTAAGAAGAAAAAAGCAGTACTCACGTTAGGGTTGAGATCATCTTCGTTTGGCCCGTCCACCTTGGGCTCGCCTGCGTCCTTCGGAGGGGCAGCAGCCGCCTTCTCTGCCTTCCTTGCCTCCTTCTCGCGCTGCTTTTCACGGCGTTTAAGCTCCCTGCACGCGTCCGAGATTGATCAAGACGCGAAAGTAAATCAATAAAACACATGAAAGACGAACGTCTTGGAAATCATCTCGCCCGTCACCGGGTCCTTATGTGTTCCCGTCGATTCAGATGCCATTTTTCTGATATTCAGAGGTATGCAAGCTGGTGAATTTGTGCGAGATAACAAACGTGTAGTTGAGGGCACAAAAGAACTTCTGATCAGCCTCAAGCCCAGCATCCAAACCCGTTTTTGAATCATCGATATAATCTTGTCGAGTCATGTGCTCTAAAAGCGGAGTCTCAAAGTATTCCCACGGATATAGTCCGCGCCACTGCACCTGGGCCTTACACATTCGGTGCTGCACCGACGGCTACAATCGATCCCGACCACGACGAACACAATAGCAAGAAAGCCCAAGAAAGCATAGAACAAAGAACAACGCCAGCCATGTCCTCAGACTACGAATATTCAGACGATGATATCGATTACTCTGATGAGGACGACGAAATGATGGATACTCAGGAGGATGGTAAGTCGTCTGGTGGCTTACACGCAACATGCAGCCTCATGATAGCGTCAGGTTCAGCGTCCTCAGACGACGATATGGACATGGACGCCTTTAACGAAGATTTTAAGGTTCCATCCAAAGCAATGCGCAAGACATACGAGATAGAGTATGACACCCTTACCCAGACTGCCGTCGAGAAAGCCATGGCAGCAGACATTGAGCACATTAGTGGTATCTTTGGCGTTGATGTGCGTATGGCTCTATCTTCTCTTCCCGTATCCTTACTTATGCAGACATAAATACTATCTATCTTTTTCGTAGGCCAGCGTTGCATCCCTGCTCTTGAGATACCTGAGCTGGAACAAGGAACGCCTCATTGAGAAGTACATGGATAATGCTTCTGCAGTCTCAATCTCGGCCGGCATAAGTCCGCCATCCAGATCTTCTGTATCTTCATCCGCGGCGCCTATTCGCTCTCACTCCTCGTCTACCGGCGGCCGTTCATCAGGCGGGCTGCGTCGTCCCACCCGCCAAACTCCAGGTAAATCAAGATCACCAACCCCAGCGTCTGTGTACCCTGACGCTCCTTCTGCAGCTCCAAAACCAGAACCATTTGTGTGTCCCATATGCTTCGATGACTCTCAAACGAGCTTTTTGTCGTTGTCATGTGACCATCAATTCTGTGCAGGTTGCTGGGGCGCTTACCTTACGAGTAAGATACGCGAGGAGGGAGAACACTCGATTCGTTGTATGGCTGAGGGATGTGCGATTGTGGCTCCTGACCCATTTGTACGCTCTGCTCTTGCGGACGATATTCCTACCTGGGAACGTTTCCAAGAGCTTGTTGTTCGTCACTTTGTAGCGTCCAACCCGAGCCTCAAGTACTGCCCATACCCGTCGTGCACCCATACTGTCTCATGCCCGGTGGCTGCGCACAAGTCAGCTTTAACTACGATTGTCCCTATTGTATCGTGTGGCGCATCGGGCACTCATAAATTCTGTTTTGGCTGTCCAATTGAAGCAGACCACAGGCCCGTCATTTGCTCGGTAGCGAAGATGTGGTTGAAAAAGTGCCGAGATGACAGCGAGACGGCCAATTGGATCAAGAGTAATACCAAGGAATGTAGTCAATGCCAAAGCACTATCGAGAAGAATGGCGGTTGCAAGTGCGTAGCGATTACTCGTTTCATTAGTTATTGGTAGCTAATGACTTCCTTTTTAGCCACATGACGTGTAAGAAATGCAAGCATGAGTTTTGCTGGGTTTGCATGGGTAAGATTTGTTGTGATAATGAAGGACGTTGAGCTGACGAAATCAATGAAGGTCCTTGGTCGGAGCATGGCACTGCCTGGTACTCATGCAACAGGTATGATGAAAAGACAGGAGTTGATGCCAGAGACGCGCAATCGAAGAGTCGTGCCTCTCTTGAGCGTTATCTTCACGTACGTGGCTGCTTTGATAGCCTCATGCAGCGTCATTGATCATTTCATAATTCCTGATAGTATTATAACCGCTGGGCTAACCATGAGCAGTCTGCCAAGTTATCTATAGAACTGTACTCCAAGACGGAGAAAAAGATGGAAGAGATGCAGGTCACGTCGGATTTGACCTGGATCGAAGTGCAATTCATGAAGAAGGCTGTCGATGAAGTAGAGAAGTGTCGTACGACACTGAAGTGGACATATGCAATGGCATACTACTTGGAGAAAGGTAATGAGAAGGAATTGTTTGAAGATAATCAACGGTAGGTATCCATTACGGAGGTTTACGCTTATGGGTTATTGATGACCACCTCATTATCAGTGATCTCGAGAGGGCTGTAGAAGACCTTTCTGAACTTTTAGAATCTCAAATAGACACAGAAATTATTTCCACGCTTCGCCAGAAGGTCACCGACAAGACTGTATGCTGTACTCTCCTTCTTACTGTCTTTGTCGTGCTGATGAAGTTGACTTTTGTAGGTATATGTGCAGAAACGTAATGAGATCATGTTAGAAGACACTGCGAAAGGGTTTTTGGATGGTAGGTGGAGCTGGAACGTTTCGGTTGAGGGATTTGACTAGATCTCGATAATCCCTTCCCTAAAATTTCCCTCCAAGTTCCCTTCCTTCCTCTCCACCATCATCACGATTTCATTTTCATTCCTAATCCTGGTCCCCTGCTTCTACCTAGTAGCCTCAAGTCATCTGTAATTTTCCTCATTTTACGACTGTGTGTATTCTGGACGTTCTGTGTTTCGATAAATTAACAAATAAACCTTCTTGTGTTTTTACTTTGCTTACAAAACTTGGCACAGTCGGGTCAGATGCGGTAACGACGGGTGCCACCCGCGCCAAGGATGTTTGTCACGAAAAAGGGTATCGCAACATGGCAATTTGACGTAATTCGATTTAGGCCCAAGCGTGACAGCACAGTCCGCGAAGACTGCGGTATGCTTAAACGCCTCTTTTGTATCATATCTAATGCAAAAACCAGGTGGTCTTTGTTGTTTTTCACCTGAAAGTGACCAACTATCTCGTGGGGACTGTCAACGAATCGTGCCCAACTTGAAGTATGCTAAACGTATTTATTACGGGCGCTGCTGCGCTCCACCCACGATGCACTATCGAAGCGTGCATTGAGTGAAGAGAATTGGAAAAGGCCGTAATTATTTTGACTAGAACAGCGGCCATCCGTAATATATTCTCCCGAATAGTTTTTGGGCCAGATAGATGGCCTTAATTGAATTGAAAGTCCGCCAGATCAGACCCGCCTGGCTGACGGTTTCTCTGCATAATAACGACCATCTGCTTTGATTTCAACAGCCCCTTGTCGTCTAAGGACGCTCTCCCCCAACTCTGTCTCGTCGCTTTGGCGTCGACCCCTCTCCGCTCTTTTTTGTCCCTCCCCACCGTCTCACACGACACTCTAGGCCGTCAAGATGTTGTACTTGACGTCCGATAACTTTCCAATATGTTAGTTCATACCATTTCCTCAACGTGTCGTCGCCAGCGAGTCCTTACTGACCTCGCTCTTTTCTTATAGTCCTACCATTTGGAGTTATCGGGTGATTTTTGGACCGTTTTGTTTTATATCGTTGTATGCGCTGACACCTCCTTTCTTTTCAGATTTTACCGTTACTTATGGTACCTCATTCGTGTTACAGCCTCGTTTACTTATCGCCCAGTCCCACTACCGGAAAATCCCACTTACATCGCATCAGAAGATGTCACCATCATTGTCCCTACCATCGACGCAGGAGAAGAATTCAAGGAGGCAGCGCACAGCTGGCTCGTCGGAAAGCCGAAGGAAATTCTTATCATCACCGAGGAGAAAATGCTTGGGCCTCTTCAAGAGCTTGCCAATGCCGTAGACCCAGAGCGCATCCGCGTCCTCACCGTTCCATTCGCGAACAAGAGGCTGCAGATGTCTCATGGCATCAAGAATACATCAACTGATATTATTTTTTTTGCTGATGATGATGCCATCTGGCCGCCAACTCTGCTTCCATATGTCCTCGCTTGCTTTGAAGACCAGAAGGTCGGAGGTGTAGGAACCTCTCAGCGTGTCCAACCCTGTGGTAAACGCATGACCGTCTGGGAGGTCTTGGCCGCTTTCCGTCTCACAATTCGAAATATCGAAATATCTTCATCTACGCATATAGATGGAGGTATTCCGTGTTTGTCCGGTCGCACTGCCGCCTACCGTACAGTTATCCTTAAGGATCCTGAGTTTTTACACGGCTTCACTCACGACTACTGGCTCGGCAAATACCATTTGAATTCTGGTGATGACAAATTCTTGACGAGGTGGATGGTTAGCCACGGTTGGAGTACTTACGTCCAATGTTGCAAGGAAGCCGAACTACTCAGTACGATGAAGCCTGATTGGCGGTTCCTGAAGCAAGTGCTACGGTGGACGAGAAATACGTGGCGGTCTGATCTTCGCTCACTTTTCATGGAAAGGCACATCTGGACAACGCATCCATACGTTGCCTACACCATGGTAAACAATTCTCGCATATTTATATTAGTAGCGAGTGCTCATTGTTATTTTGTAGGTGGACAAGCTCTTTAACCCCTTTACGCTTCTTGTCGGTCCTTGTCTTGTGGCAATCTTGATATCCAAGAGTACTATTCCGATATTGGAAGGCGGCTATCATTTACCATGGTGGTTCGTACATTCCTATTCACCGACAAGGCTAGAGTATATTTAAACATTTCTTCGTAGGAATATCGTATGCAGTTACATCGTATGGTTGATGGCAACACGTACGGCAAAGCTGCTACCTCATCTATGGTACCAACCAGAGCACATTATATATGTGCCTGCTTTCATCGCGTTCGGTTACTACTTCGCGATCATGAAGGTTTATGCTCTATTAACATTACACGAGGTTAGTTATCATCAAATCTGTCGTATCTCTCATTCTCATTTACATACTCACCTTCTCTTTCACAGACTGGGTGGGGCACTCGTGCGGGAATTGGCGATCCCACTGCTGCTACCAACGCTGCCAGCGCGTCTGACGAGAAACCCTATCTCGACAGTCCACAACCGCAGCAATATCAACAGCCTCCGATCGAGATGCAGGTGTACACGAACTGAAAAGTACCTGCACCATCAGCAACAATAGAAATGCCCACGACGTGCCCTCACCTACTACTCCATCCCATAATTCACACGCACCAGTCTTGCATAAAGTATTTACAAGCAATATAAGTCCATCTCCCTGCACAATCTCCGTCTGCTACGATCTACCTACTTCTCGCTGAAGTATACCTGCTGCTCTCGTGCCTCCGTCGTCATTGCCAGGAGTTTAGCCTCACTTTATCGTCTACGGTCTCCTCCAGAGAAGAAGTCTATCGACCTTTTATCTTGATGCGAACCGTCGCTTTCTCTGTGCTGCCTACACTTTTGTTTCGTCTTACATTCTCGTACGGGACTTTTTTTTTTCTTCCTCTTTGGTCTACTGCGACTTTTTGTCTTCATACTCGATGCTTTTGCGTTATCCTTTTCTTTATCTTACACGGACTTTTTTTGTCTACTCGCAACATGTCCCAGGGCTCGCTTTTTTATCTGTGCTCGTGGTGTTGACTACGTGCGGGGATTTCTTGGAGTGCCTAGCATTTGCATAATTGTCGACGGAGCGGGGGTGCACTTGTATATTTTTGCTTGACATGCCATCTGCATTTGCATTACCGTATTTCCTCGTGCCCCAGCTTCAGGAACTCGACAATTTCTTTTATCCTCGATAGGAGAGGTGACGATGAAAATACAATGGCGGTCTATGCTTACTTTATGGCATGGGCTTATGCGAGTAACGTTCATTCTTCAAGTAGTTTTACATTGTCGAATTTTCCTTCGTGACGGTTCAATCTCGTAGTTGAGCAAAGATAGAGTCTCATCCTTTTACATGTAGCATTACCGAATAAATCGCACAAAAAAGGGCGTACTAGTATATAACACATGAAGCGGAAGGTTTTACAATACAAGGGGACAAAATCTTTGAAATTTATCAAGGTAGTCGCACCGAAGAAAATAACTGTAAATGCGAGGCTGAAGGTGGGGGGGTTGAAATTACGAAAGTAATAGGATTCAAATGATACAGAAGGGTATATTGAACAGAGAGCGAAGGTGGTGGAAATCCGGGTGTTAGAGCTCCTCACCGCAGCGGCAGTCACAATCCGCCACGGGACACACGCCGTGCGAACGGATGCCCTCTTCACCGAAGAACCACTCTAGGATGTGTGAGGCGTGGCCGCCATGCCGACAGTTCTGGCATATGATAATGGCCTCGTCGATGGTATCTTTGAGTGATGAATCCAGGAGTTGAGTGGCGAGCTAAAAATGAGCATGAATTGATAGACGTACCTGTGAAGTATGACTGAGATTGGGACAGCTCTTGGTCGCGGACGGCATCTGGGACGATGCTGAGCGTTGTCAAACAGATGGAACATCGCGGCAAGGCACGATTGCAGTTGGGACAAGCCATCGGCTAGAGGAATACGAGTCATCAATATCAGAACGAAATACTGCGAGGATATGTATGATACACGAACCCTGCTTTTCGGATTAGCAAGCGATGGATCCAGCGGTTTGCTGCAATAATTACAGCGGATAACAATCTGCCTTGGCGCCCAATCGAACGGCGCCAGGTCCCCACTCCTGACAGCTTCCTGTAGAATCTGGCCCCTCTCAATATCAAATGTAACACGGAAGTGGAAGAGCTTGAAACCGTCGAGCAGGTCGCGATAGGCTTCGAGCCAGCGGAGGGTGCGAGTGTCCTGGAATTTAGACGGGCAGACAAAGGAGGAGAGGATGGCCGCTGTTTGGACGTCACCGGTCCGATCGACGTAGTTCTGGAGGATGTCCATTCCAGACGACGTCAGCCCAGTGACGATGAGACCTTCAATGTCGCCCTGCATGCAACATCTATCGGCGACTCGTCGTAAATAAGAAGACAGAGCCTTATCGTCGAGGAACTGGAAAGCGACGGCGAGGCGTTCGCGGAGGGGCAACGCTTCTTCTTCGAGGACCTCTGACCAGTCTTTAGACGTTAGTTGGGTGAGTAGAGCACGGAAATAAGGGTCCTGAAGTCGGACAATAAGGCGTTCACAGTAGTCTCTCAGTGCAGTGTTCAAGTTCGAGCTACCTGACTTCTGTGGGACAAGGGCGGCCAGCGTACCAGACATCATGTGGTGGAGTTCATCTGAAATATCAAGCGTAAGCGGATAATAACCCAAAAATAGAAGCAAAAACATACCTTTGCTGCGCATTAGCAATTCCAAGCTTTGCTGTACTGCTG